TAACTGAGTACAATTTGATTAAGTAAAAGAAAGCCCTGGCTTTGGAGTCAAAAGTCCTAGGTTACTATCTAGGTTATAAGGGCAAAGGTAACAGAGCCCTAGGCTTTACTTATGGGGTTTCATAAGTCGCTGATATTACAATCCAGTTCCCCCTATTTCATAAGAAACCTTTAAAACCAGAGACATTAAAGGAGGAAATATGAAGTATATTCTGAAATGTCTAAAATATCTGCTATCCCAGTGGAGGGGAGGATAAAAGAGAAGATAATCAACCTTATCAAACAAGAAAAAACGTCTCACTTTATTTGGTCAAAATGTAGTTACTAGCTGCATAGTGCCCCAATCCAAACTCAGTGAGAGTTGGCAAGCTAATGCTCTAAGCTGATTCTTATACTGATTTCCATTTGAACCACAGAAGCCTTCTGTAGGAGAGAAGTAATAGAATGGAGCCCCTCTTGGGAATTTAATCAAGAGATGCACTGATTATTTGCTTTGATCCACACTGTTTTATCAATATCACCACGAAAGAAAATATCAGGTGAACCCATACATTCAAATGCCGGAGGAGTGCCCAGGTCGAAGGTCTGGGCTATCTCTTGCTAACACTGGAAGTGACAAGTCTGTGTATGGCAATTTCTGGGTGAGATTTAGATTCCTTTTCTGCATTCAGTGTCAGAATTAATCCCCCTGTTGCAATCACAGCATATCCTGAGCTGAAAACATACACAAGGTGACTGAACTGAAGCAGTGGTCCTCATCTGGAGTGACTGTCCCTCGAGGACAGCTGTGTCTGGAGATGGTTTGGGGTGTCACAATGGAAGACATTACTCACATCTAGTACATAGGGGCCATGATGGTCCAAAGAACTGTACAGTATACAGGGACCTATACACATTTAAAAAAATTCTCAGCCGGGCGGTGGTGGCGCACGCCTTTAATCCCAGCACTCGGGAGGCAGAGCCAGGCGGATCTCTGTGAGTTCGAGGCCAGCCTGGGCTACCAAGTGAGTTCCAGGAAAGGCGCAAAGCTACACAGAGAAACCCTGTCTCGAAAAACCAAAAAAAAAAAAAAAAAAAAAATTCTCTAAGACCAGGCATGGTGGCTCATACCGTTAACTCAGGAGGCAGAAGCAGGTGGATCTCTGTGAGTTTGAAGCCAGCCTGGTCTACATGGAGAGTTCCAAGCCAGTCAGGGCTACATAGTGAGACCATCCCTAATAACAGAAAACCTAGCAAGGAGCAAGGGTTGGCCAGTAATGGTTGAGAACTAAGTTAAATATCTACTTGGCACCCAGTCCTTAAATAAGGACTTGTGTGAACAAAGGAAGACATGCTTGAATCAAAATAGTATATAACAAATGAGACATGTCCTATGAATACAATTATGAAATTCTGAAAAGGACACAAATATGGGCAACAGAGACCCACAGAGCTATGCAGATGGAGGATTACACTACTGTTAAAGGCATGGATTTGTATGAAAGGAGGGAGACTCTGGGAGGAGCATAGAGCCAGTCAAACAACACGGGCAGGCAGGAGTGAGATCAGTCAGGTAAGAAACAGCAGCAGGCTAGTGTAGCTGACACACAGTGCAGCAGGTGAGGGCAAACGCTGCATGAAAATGGAATTGGCCCCGGACTTCCAGTTCCCTGGACTTCAAGAGTAGGTAAGGTCCTTTCACGGTTAACCTTTCATGGCTCTACAACCGTGGTTCTCAACTCTGCATATCCAAGCAGCCTGAAGATTGATTACAGATCTTTCAAAAATCTGTTCTCAAAATTCTGGTTCAGTGAGTTTGTGGCAGAACCAGAATATGTCTTCTGAAAAGCTTGAGGTAAGCTGGAAAAAGGCCAGAAGGCCACGGCTGTAATCTCTCCTCCCATTACTGCGTTTTGAGAGTTACACATTCAGTGCTTCAGCTCAAACGAGATAATTCAACTCATGAGCCTTTCTGCTTTAGTAATTACCTATGCCTTCCAGCCCAATTTGTGCTGGATAGTTTTATGTTAACTTGATACAAGTTAAGTCATGTGGGAGGAGGGAACCTCAGTTTAAAAAAATGCCTCCATAAGATCCAGCTTCGAGGTAAGCCCTCAAAACATTTTCTTAATTAGTAATTGATGTAGGAGGGCCCCACCTAGTGTGGGTGGTGCCATCCCTAGGCTGCTGGTTCTGGGTTCTATAAGAAAGTAGGCTGGGAGGGAGCAAGTCAGTAAACATCATCCCTCCATGGCCTCTGCATCAGCTCCTTTCTCCAAGTTCCTGCCCTGTTTGAGTTCCTGTCCTGGCTTCCCTCAATCATGGACTACAATGTGGAAGCATAAGACAAATAAACCTGTTCCTCCCCAACTTGCTTTCGGTCACAGTGTTTCATCACAGCAATAGAAACCCTAAGACACAATTATTCTGAGAATCCTAAATAACCAGAAATGAAAACAATGATTTTTACTGTCTTAGAAAATATAGCTATCATTTAAATTTCTAAAAGTTGAATTCAATAGTTAATCACAGTGAGCAATTACATATTATGACTAGTTTATGGTAGCATTAATTAATTAGCCAATTAATTGCTTAAAATTATGATCTCTAAACAAAATAAAAGTCATAATAACACCATACAAAAACAGGACATAAGGCCGGGCGGTGATGCTACACGCCTTTAATCTCAGCACTCAGGAGGCAGAGTCAGGAGGATCTCTGTGAGCTCGAGGCCAGCCTGGTCTACAGAGTGAGATCTAGGACAGGCACCAAAACTACACAGAGAAACCCTGTCTCGAAAAAACAAAACAAAAAACAGGACACAAACTGTATGTGTGTATGTGTATATAGCTCATTTCCATAAAAGATAAAGTTTAGAGATAAGTGTGGGAGACTTAATCCCAACTCTTAGTAGTAGTTATTTCTAGGCACTGAAATTATATTGGATAACTTTTAAACTATTTTCCCATAAAACATAAATATTCCTTTAATAATGGCAGGGGCAGTTGACCTGGTCTGCTGATACAGACTTAGAAGAAACAGCAATTTAGTTCAGGGCTGTTAATATTTCAACTTCAAAGATATCTTTGAACCAATTCTCAAAAGTACATCTTTAAAAAAAAAAAGACCAAGACTATCAAATTTCTAAACAGCAATGATTCTAAGGTAGCAACCACACCAGAATCAAATTATTAGTTACCATAAGGAAGCACTTTTCTAAACTCATGAAGTGGGGAGTTTGGGATTTGAAAGTACACTGAGCATCTCCATCTGAAATGACAAAGGGTGCCAGGTGGTGGTGGCGTATACCTTTAATCCCAGCACTCGGGAGGCAGAGGCTGGTAGATCTCTGTGAGTTCGAGGTTAGCCTGGTCTACAAAATGAGTTCCAGGACAGTCAAGGACTGTTATACACAGAGAAACCCTATCTAGGAAAGAAAGGAAGGAAGGAAGGACGGACAAAGGGTAATGAGCCGAGCTGGAAGTTGGTGGCAGTGACTGATTTCTTTCCACCACAAAGAAAACAAATCAGACAGTTAAAAACTGTCTATAGCCGGGCGGTGGTGGCGCACACCTTTAATCCCAGCACTCGGGAGGCAGAGCCAGGCGGATCTCTGTGAGTTCGAGGCCAGCCTGGGCTACCAAGTGAGCTCCAGGAAGAGGCGCAAAGCTACACAGAGAAACCCTGTCTCAAAAAATACAAAACAAGCAAACAAACAAAAAAAAAAAAAACAAAAAAAACTGTCTATTTGGTGAAGATAAACTAATTAACAATAAGAATGATTCTGATGAAACTGGTATGTTTTGATAGGTGGATTTTAAAAGCAAGATAGAAGTAGCTCAAGAGGAAAGAAAGATGAGCTACTTGAACTCATTTCAAACTCTTAGATATTTTTTTTTATGAGCCAGTAGTCCGGTACCATGCATCTAGAATTTTAGGAGATTTCAAATATTCTAATTTTAAGAAAATCTGGATGCTGTATTTCCACCGATGGTTATAACCTTGAACACCATAACGACAGCATCCAGACAGTGACAATTCACTGAGGTCCAAGAAATCCTGGTCACCCACGTGAAGGTGTGAGGTGTGAATAATTCCATCGCCTTCTCTTCCCTTCCCCGCAGACCCCTCCGGGGTTCAAAGTCCTCCTAAGCAGGGAGAACTGTCATCTTATTAACCTTTGGCACAAACTGGCAACCTTGGTAATCTACAAACCAAGTCTGCCACTCGAGGCCTCTCTGGCAGCACTGGCAACTCTCTGGCAGGACAACACTTTAATAAACCGTGTAAGAGCTCTCCAGAGCTTTTCAGCCTTGAGTGAGGACTGCTTCTGAAAGCCGAGGCAGAACCCTAGCATATTCAGTCTGGTTTAACCGAGCTAAAGAGGTGGACTAGGGTCAGAGGATGCACTAGCCGCGGGGTGGGTGGTGCTGCCACTTCTGGCCGTGCCCGCAGGGGGCCTCGCTCACGCCTCAGCCCGTCTGGTGACAGACGATGCCCCGGGCGGGGAAGGCGTCAGCAGACACCGGTCCCACGAGACATCGGCGGCGCCCGACCCCAGGCAGTGGCTCAGCCGTCCGGCGAGCGCGTTACCTGCAGCAGGTGCAGCTGGGCCACGAGTTGCCGCGGCAGGTGGAGGAAGCAGTCCCGAGCGTTCGTGAAGGCCACCGTCACGACCGCCCCGCCAGACCCCGCACCCGCTAAGCGATCGCTGCTCCACATCGTTCAACTCCCCCAGCCCACCCGGGAGCAGAGCCCGCCCCTTTCCCGGGCAGGCCCGGGCAGGCCAGGGCGTCGGAGCCCGAGAACATCGATCGGCCCCGCCCCCTCTTCGCACATCCGGCTGCAGCCACTTTCCGATCTCTCCTCCGAGACTCTAGGGGGCGGCACAGTGCGGATCGAATTCTCGCTCTCAGGAACGGCTTGTCGATGGGGTCGATTGTCCAGCCAATCCAAGCACGCTTGACCCATTCTGCTCTCTTATTGGACACAGAGGAGTGCGTCCGGCGGATGTTGTTCTGGCGCCGGGGACTACGGCGGGCAAGATGGCGTCCAGTGACGGGAAGCCGGGTTGCATATTCGACCACCACGTCCAGACGGCTGTGTGTGACTCGCGGGCCAAATACCGGGAGGGCCGACGCCCTCGTGCGGTCAAGGTAGAGCGACTTCGGTTTCCTCGCTCTCCTAGGCGGGAGCGCTAGCTTCCTGTGAGCACTGGCTCCCCATGGCCAGCCTACAGAAAGGGTTACTCTCCGTTAACTACTTACTAGACCGTCACTCCACGAGAGCAAGACTTCTAGTTTTGTATCCTACGTGTTTACAGTAGCGCTTCTTCCAGGACAAGCACTGGGGAGGGTTCAGTGACTGTTTCCATTAACTTCTCTGGAGTCAACTTTTGGAAAAGACGTCTGGTAAATGGTTTAGTCATATACCCTTACGTGGAGTGTGTTACCCGTTAGCCAAGAAGAGTGATGGTTTTGTGTGTATGTTTTACAGACCGGATTGAGCAGAGTATCTCTTGCTTTCAAAGCTCCTTTTTTTAAATAGTCAGGGACAGATTTGCCGTGGGTTGTCTGTGGAATACATTTAACGAGCCTTTTTTTTTTTTTTTTTTTTTTTGAGGTATATACAATCAATTTGGAATCTCAGTACTTATTAATACAAGGTGTTCCTGCGGTGGGAGCCATGAAGGAATTAGTTGAGCGATTTGCTCTGTATGGTGCGATTGAACAGTATAACGCCCTAGATGAATACCCAGCTGAAGAATTTACAGAAGTTTATCTCATTAAATTTGTGAAATTACAGAGTGCAAGGTATGTATGTACAAATTAAGCAGTATCCATGTCCTGTATTCCTGTTGCTGTCATTTTGGCCCCGGATTTTCCCCAAACATACCCAAGTCACACAAACACTCATCACTCTTAATCTTCCTGTTTGTTGTTTGTTTTGTGGGGATTCGAGACAGGGTCTCTCTTTATAGCCTTGGCTGTCTTTGAACTCACTCTGTAGACCAGGCTGGTCTCGAACTCAGAGATCCTTCTGCCTCTGCCTCAAGAGTGCTGGGATTAAAGGTGATGTGCTTCCACCGCCCAGCTTTTTGTTTTTTTTTTTTTTTTTTTTTTTTTTTTTTTTTTTTTTTTTTTTTTTTTTTTTAAAGATTTTATTTATTTATTATGTATACAATGTTCTGCCTGCATGTATGTCTGCAGGCCAGAAGAGGGCACCAGATCTCATTACAGATGGCTGTGAGCCACCATGTGGTTGCTGGGAATTGAACTCAGGACCTCTGGAAGAACAGCCAGTGCTCTTAACCTCTGAGCCATCTCTCCAGCCCCCCAGCTTTTTGTTTTTTACCCCTTCAGGCATCACATGTCCTAGTCAAGCACCCAACAGTGATTTACATCCCTAGTTCTTCCTTCAATTTTTTTAAAGGTTAACTTTACAAAAATACTGTTTCCATCCTCTCATATCTATGCGTAACAGTTTTTGAACCTGTAGTATGGTAGATTCAGAATTACATTTGAAGTAAATTTCGAGTCCTATGTCTTCATTACTTTGGAATTTTTTTAATCCTGCTAAGCAATTTTCCTCTTCTTAAAATCCATATGGCAAAAAGATCTGCTTCTTGAAGTTTCCTGAGGGAGGATGACGTGAAATAATGTATGTAAAGGGCTTAGACTGGCACCTCCTATTAAGAGTAAATATTAGCAATGGCAGTTGTTATTGTTACAGTTCTCTGTTGATCAATCTCTTTTTAATACTTATGTATGACATAAACCTTGTATTCCAATAAGGCTAAAGTCAACAGTGCTTTATTTCTGTGTTAACCCTTTTTGTGGGGAGGAGTGTGGTTGTGGTATGTGTGTGTGTGTGTGTGTGTGTGTGTGTGCATGTGAGTATGGTATGTGTGTAGGGTAGAGGTCAATGTTGAGTGCCTTCTTCAGTTGTTCTCCACCTTATTCATTTACTTATTGATTGATTGATTGATTGAGACAAGTTTTAATATATAGCCCTGGCTAGCCTAGAACTGGCTACGTAGACCAGACTGACCTAGAACTTAAAACCTTCTCCTGACTCCACCTACCCCTCCACCAGGTTTAAAGGCATGTGCCACCACACTGTGGTCCTTTGTATTTTTGGAGACAGGGTCTCCCACTGAATCTGGAGCTCATCAACTAGATTGGTTGACTATCAAACTCCAATGATCCTTCTATCTCTCTTGCCAGCACCAGGACTATAGGCATACAGCAGTGCCCAGCTTTATGTGGATGCCAGGGATCTGAACCTAGGCACTCAAGCTTAAGCAAGTGCTTTACCCACTGAGCACTCTCCCTAGTTCACATCAGTCATTTTTTTTTTAATCTTTAATCACTAACCTGATCTAAAATGTGTCTTTCTCTGACTTCCGCCATTCATATATTTTTATAGTAGAAAAAGGCTTCAGATTTCCCAGAGCTGGAGTTGGCGGTGGTTGTGAGCCACCCAGCATGGGTGCTGGGATTTGATGCTGCTCTTCTGCAAGGTCAGCAAGTGGTTTTATCGCCAAACCATTGCCAGCCCCTTACATTTCTTTTGTATGCTGCATAGTCCACCACAAAAACACTTGACTTCAGAGAGCTGTGTGTCTTTCTCACCAGATGGCCAGCTCTTCATGGTTAGGAAAGCATAGTGACTAGAGTGCCTTCATATCTCCACAGAACCTGATACGTTTGACTCTGGAGTCAGACATCCCAACTTAATCCTAGATTTATAGATGAATGTATGAACATGGTCTGGGTACAGATTTCCTGATGCCTTGGTTTCATATCATAAGATGGTTATGAGATACCAATTTAAGTGAAGCACTTATGGCATTGCATGGGGTAATATCTCAATAAGCATTAATCATTATCTGTTGATACAGAAGTATTACTTACTTACTAGGGTGCCTGGTTCAGCATAGGTGTTCAGTATTTCTTGAATAAACACAATTCTTTTTTTTTTTTTTTTTTGGTTTTTCAGGACAGGGTTTCTCTGTGTAGCTTTGCACCTTCCCTGGAACTCACTCTGTAGCCCAGGCAGGCCTTGAACTCACAGAGATCTACCTGGCTCTACCTCCCAAGTGCTGGGATTAAAGGCGTGGGCCACCACTGCCCGGCTCAATTCTTTTTTTTTTAATTAGTTATTTCTCTTTTATTTTTATGTGTATGTAGTGTGGTTTTGTGAGCTTATATACCCATATGCATGCAGGACCCTGTGGAGCAAAAGAGGGCATTGGATGCCCTTGCACTGGAGTTACACAGACTATTGTGGATTGCCATGCTGGGAATTGAACCTGGGTCCTCTGAAAGTAGCTAGTGCTCTTAACCCCTTAGCTGTCTCTCCAGCCCCAGAAGGAACACAGTTCTTAATTGTGCATTGGTTAGTTGTTACATATTCATATATTTTTACTTGTTCATGTGAGTGTGTGTCCGGAAGCACGTGCCATGCCATGTGTACAGGAGATGGTTGATTTCTACCATGTGGGTTCCAGAGATTGAGCTCAGGTCATCAGTCTTGGTGGCAAGTGCCTTTACATGCTGAGCCATCTTGCCAGCTTCAAGTTATATATTTTGCTCACAAGTTCTATAACTCAGGCTAATCAGTAAGGTCCTGAGTTAGTTTTTAAAAAGGTATAGGTAAGTACATCTAGCTTAGCTGAAAACTTACTGAGATTATTAGTAGAGGGAATGGAAGAATAATTTTCTTGGGGCTGGAGAGATGGCTCAGTGGTTAAGGTAGCTTGCTGCTCTTTCAGAAAACTGGGGTTCAGTTCTCAAGCACTATTGTCAGGTGGTTCACAACCCCTTGTAACTCCAGCCCTACAGGATCCAGTGGCCTCTTCTGGTCACTCTCGGAGGGCACCTGCCACACGTGTACAGAACACATGTACTTATATACATGTATACACAAGTAAATAATAAGATAAATCTTTTTATTAAGAGTACTTTCTGGGTCAGTTGGGTCATCCAAAACAAAGCATCTTACCCAGCCCACAGTTGCCCCCCCCCCAACACACACTTTGTTCCTTAAATCTATGGAACACCTGTTAAGCTTTTATCTTAGGTAAATCTAAATTAAAAAGCCATGGCAGAGGAGATGGCTCAGTGATTAAGAGCACGTACTGCTCCACAGGATCTGAGTTTGATTCATAGCAACCAGGTCAGGTGTCTGTAAACTCTAGCTCCAGGCCAGAGCCTCTACATATTTATATACACATAATTAAAAATAATAAAAAATAACTTTCTGGGTGTAGTGGTGCACACATTTAATCCCAACATTAGGGAGACAGAGGCAGGCAGATCTCTGAGTTCAAGGCCAGCCTGATTTACATAGTGAGTCAAGGACAGCCTGACCTACTTAGTGAGACCCTGTCTCAAAAAAAAAAAAAGCCAAGTATCTGGGGGCTGGAGAGATGACACGGAAGCTGAGAGCTGTTACAGGACTCAAGTTTGGAGTTTGGTTCCCAGCACCCACGTCAGGTGGTTTACACTGTCTGAACTCCAGTTCCAGGGAATCCACTACCTCTGGACCTCCTGGGTAACTGTACTCATGTGCGCATACCCACATACACACTTACACATAAGGCATAAGTAAAAATGGTAAAAGTCAGTTTTTTTAAGCCATGTAATTTATGTATTTCTCTTTTGAGTTCTCTTTAAATTATGTATTTCTTTTTAGGATAGCTAAGAAAAAGATGGATGAACAGAGTTTCTTTGGTGGGTTACTTCATGTGTGCTATGCTCCAGAATTTGAGACAGTTGAAGAAACTAGAAAAAAATTAGAAGAGAGAAAGGCTTATATTGCAAGAGCTACTAAAAACAAAGGTACGAAAGTCTGTTGTTAACACCTCCTGTGTGTCAGGCACTGCTAGGGATGTGTGTCTCATGGAGTTCCTGCTCAGTCATGGTCTCTGGTGACTTGAACCATGGGGTTCCATGCAGCACTGTACAGCCTTGGCTGGAAAGGGAGAGATGTTGGTTCATGGACTATTTCTCTGCGATGTCAGAGATGGCTGAATTTCAGTGAATGTTATCCAGAAAGGAGTGAAAAGGATGGCAAGATGAGCCAGGCTACATGTTTAAACACCTAGAGCAATAAACTGCCATCATGCATTCAAGGAGCTGTAATTCTACAGAGTAACCAGAATTCCAAGGTTTTAGTGAGAGAGATTAGGAAAGCAGACAGGAAGCAAATCATGAAGTACCTCGTGTCCCATGCTAAGGAATCCAGTGTTTGATATGAAGGCAGCAAGAGGCGACTGTGGTTTATACACCGGTTAGAAGTGCTACTCATCATGGGAAAGTTCCGATTTTTGATAACAGCTGAGTTTCTCCTGATGCAAGTAGGAACTAAACATGGTTTATCCATATAGTAGAATATTCTGAAACTGGAAAAGCTTTCTATGCAATGGCATGGGAAACTCTAAGATTACAGTTAGTGGGAAATATAAAAGAATAGGTTTTATTATCTTTTGAGTAGGGAGACGAGGAGGCTCCTGAGAAACAGTGGGACATTCCAGATAGATGAATAAGAAAATGCAGTAAATAAGAAGGGGAAACGAGGAAAGGGGGGAGCGTGACGCGATACCCTTTGTGTCCTTTCAGAAAGCCTCTGAATCTTAGCAATGTATTCCCTGCTCTAGAATATAATTTTGGGAGTAGAGCTTGTTAGCATTAATTTGTTTTGAGAATTGCAAGATTCTGAATGATCAAAATGATTAACCAACCTTCTGTTTACCTTTCCCTCAACTTTTAAAAATATAACTTTGAAGACTACTACATGACAAAGAAGAAACTAGTTCCAGAGCAAAGAGGAACGAAAGATTCTAGACAAGATTTCCATCCACATATGCCTGGATTTTGTACAACTGCTCTGAACACTTCTGAGAATTCAAGTCCTTGTCTTCCTTATTCTTGTGACTTGCCTTTATGCTATTTTGCCTCCCAAAGCACGTGTTTACCTGGGAAACGTGTGGACGGAGCATCAAATTCCTGTAGTAACAGTAGGAACCATAGTGAACTATCAAAGCATCGTAACTACAGTGCCTTTCTCCCAAAACTACAGATGAACACTTACAAAGATTCACTACCTTGCTCTAGTGTGCAAGAGGCCATTGCTACCTCAGAGTCAGTTGGCAGATTTATGCCTAGGACAACACTGCTGCAGGAGAGGAAAAGAAGGAGAGACTGTGGTCGTGACCTTGGAACTTTTCCTGAAACAAACACAGGCACTAACGAGGCTGTGATTGGACCCAAGTTACCAGGTATTCCCACAGTGGATCTGCAGGATGATTCCTTGAATACAACAGCAAACTTAATTCGGAGTAAACTTAAAGAGGTGAGCTAATTTTGTTTTTAAATTAAGATAATTTAGTTGTAGGACCAACAACTATAGGAAATTATTTGGAGGAACTAAAACGTAATTATTTGTTTTATTTTTGTTTTTGATGTATTTTCCTACCTTTATTTTCTAAAATAACAATTTGATCAATATCTATTTTATTTGGTGGTAATTCTTGGTTTAACAATGAACAGATACATTTTGTGTCAGTATAGGTACAAAATACTACATGTTCCAGTCAGTCAGACTATGATAGTGGATTCCAGATGTTGTCTCTCCTCCCCTCCCCTTTTAAAGCTCCCTAGGTAGTAGTAACAGAAGCCAAAATTGACAGTTATAATCAATTATTTCTTTTAAATTCAAAGTTACTGCAGATTACATCAAAGTCAAAATGCTTTTATGATAGATATCCATAAAAGAAGGAATGATTTTGATTGATTAATTAATCAGTTAATTAGTTTTGTTGGGATAGAACCCAGGGACATGTTGTGGGCAAGCACATCCGCAGCCCACAAGGCAAGATTTCTAAAGACCGAGTCTTCAATTGCCCTACACTTGGTACTTTATATATGAACTTACAAGATTTGGACTAGTTGGAAGTCAGATTGTCTTTTTCCCCCCATTATTTACATGATTCTCCATTTCCTAAACACAAAAGAAAGCTAACATTTGAAGTAGCTCATGAAAGCTTTCTTTTTGTGGAGTGAAGATGGGCCCTGCAGAAATCATACACGGAGGGCTGTGAACATGTTCTTACAGTTATCTCCCAAGTTCACAGTCCTGCTCACACAGATGCTCTCCCGTTTTGCAGTGTGACTAAGAGAGGCTAAGGTGGCCTCGTTTCTTTTATAGACAGTTTTGTTTTCACCTATTGATTATTGTTTGGTAAAGGATGAAGAATTGCCTAAAATAGTAAGTGTATGAACATAGGTTTTTGGGTTTTTTTTTTGTTTGTTTTTTGTTTTTTCTTTCTTTCTTTCTTTCTTTCTTTCTTTCTTTCTTTCTTTCTTTCTTTCTTTCTTTCTTTCTTTCTTTCCTTCCTTCCTTCCTTCCTTCCTTCTTTTCTTTTCTTTTCTTTTCTTTTCTTTTCTTTTCTTTTCTTTTTTCCTTAACCCATTGGTGATTCAGTTGAGTATTATTCAGTTTCCATGAGATTGTAGGTTTTCTGTAGTTTTTGTTGTTGTTGAAATCCAACTTTAGACCATGGTGGTCTGATAGAATACAGTTATTCCAATTGTTTTGTATCTGTTGTTTTGTGGCCAAGTATGTGGTCGATTTTAGAGAAGGTTCCATGGGGTGCTGAGAAGAAGGTATATTCTTTTTTGTTAGGATGGAATGTTCTGTAGATATCGATTAAGTCCATTTGAGTCATGACATCAGTTAAGTCCTTTATTTCTCTGTTAAGTTTAGATTTGGGAGATCTGTCCAGTGGTGAAAGTAGGGTGTTGAGGTCTCCCACTATTAATGTGTAGAGTTTTATATATGCTTTAAGCTTTAGTAATGTTTCTTTTACATATGTGGGTGCCCTTGTGTTTGGGGCATAAATGTTCAGAATTGAGACTTCATCTTGGTGGATCTTTCCTGTGATGAGTATGTAATGCCCTTCTTGATCTCTTTTGATTGATTTTAGTTTGAAGTCTATTTTGCTGGATATCAGGATGGCTACACCCGCTTGTTTCTTAAGACCGTTTGATTGGAAAGTCTTTTCCCAGCCTTTTATTTTTAGGTAGTGTCTATCTTTGAATTTGAGATGTGTTTCTTATATGCAGCAGAAAGATGGGTCCTGCTTTCGTATCCATTCTGTAAGCCTATGTCTTTTTATAGGTGAATTAAGTCCTTTGATATTGAGGGATATTAATGACCAGTGATTGTTCATTCCTGTTATTTTTTGGTGGTAGTGTGTGTGTCCTTCTCTTCTTTGGGGTTTACTGCTGTGGCTTTATCTATTGCCTGTGTTTTCAAGGGTGTATCTGACTTCCTTAGGTTAGAATTTTCCTTCTAGTGCTTTCTGTAGGGCTGGGTTTGTGGATAAGTATTGTTTAAATCTGGCTTTGTCTTGGAATGTCTTGTTTGCTCCATCTATGATGATTGAAAGTTTTGCTGGGTATATTAGTCTAGGCTGGCATCCATGGTCTCTTAGTGTCTGCATTACATCTGTCCAGGTCCTTCTGGCTTTCAAAGTCTCCATTGAGATATCGGGTGTTATTCTGATGGGTTTGCCTTTATAAGTCACTTGGCTTTTTTCTTTGCTGCTCTTAATATTCTTTCTTTATTCTGTACATTTAGTTGTTTAATTATTATGTGGCGAGGGGACTTTTTTTGGGGGTCTAGTCTGTTTGGTGTTCTATAGGCTTCTTGTATCTTCATAGGCATTTCCTTTAAGTTGGGAAAGTTTTCTTCTATGATCTTGTTGAATATATTTTCTGTGCCCTTGAGTTGGTATTCTTCTCCTTCTTCTACCCCTATTATTCGTAGGTTTGGTCTTTTCATGGTGTCCCAAATTTCTTGGACATTTTGGTTCATGACTTTGTTGGCTTTAGTGTTTTCTTTGACAGATGAATCTATTTCTTCTACTGTATCTTCAACGCCAGAGATCCTCTCCTCCATCTCTTGCATTCTGTTGGTTATACTTGCTGTTTTTTGTTTTTCCAGACAGGGTTTCCCGTGTAGTCCTGGCTGTCCCAGAACTCACTTTGTAGACCAGGCTGACCTCAAACTCACAGAGATCCACCTGCCTCTGCCTCCCAAGTGCTGGGATTAAAGGCGTTCGCCACCACTGCCCTGGCTTTGAACATAATTTTTATGTTTAAGCCTACCTAAGTTTTTCAGTGTATGCCAGCACAGTATGTCCTCAGGTGCACTGAACTGAGGCATAGATACAGAGTCACAGCTGTCACAGTCAGGGTTGACTGCATTTTTAAAGTGTAAAGTCTACATCCCACACAAGGAAATAATAGAACAACAAAAAAGAAATACTTCATATACTTTACCGTGTATTTTTCCATTTCAAATCAAGATGGTCTTATACTGCTTTTGACTTACTATATAGTTATTTTGGGTAATGAAATAACAACAATGTATTCAGTATCCATCCTTCTCCTGACCCCCTGGGAGCTGAGGATTGTACCATTTTTACGATAATTTTTCCTTTTTTTTTTTTCTATTTTGGTTTTTCAAGACAGGTTTCACTGTGTAGCCCTGGCTGTCCTGGAACTCTCTCTGTAGACCAGGCTAGCCTGTGAACTCCCAGAGATCCACCTGCCTGCACCTCTGGAGTGCTAGGGTTAAAAGTGTGTGCTACTGCCCAGCCCAGTTTTTTTTCATCTCTTGCACCGAACGGTCCTGTCTCTAGACTTAGCAGATATTACAAATGCTTCAAAATGTTAAGCCAGATATGTTTGATGGTGCAGACTTAGCAGGCAGAAGTTACAGATCTCTTTAAAGCCATTGTGGTCTACACAGTGAGTTCCAGGCCAGGCCAGTCAAAGTCACACAGTGAGACTCCATTTTAAAACAAAACCAGTAAAACCAGGATATTTTGTCTGTCTACGGTTTGTTTCTTCATTATAACTGTTCTGTCTGGTGTGAGCTAAAATCCCAATACAGTTTTAATTTGCATTTGTTTAATTGAAATGAGATAGCATCATAATATGTTCATTTGCATTTCCCTGATGCCTAATAGTGTTGGACACTTGCAAATATTTATTGGCCATATGTATTTCTTCCTTTGAAATCTATTAAACTTATTAGCCTATTTATTGATTGGATGATTTGTTTTTTTAGGTTATAACTTTTGCAGTTCTTACAGATTCTTGATATTAACTTGATATTTATATAGTTGGGCCAAGATCCCCATTCTGCTGTCTGTTACTATGCAGAAGCTCTCAGTTCCAGGAGAGTCCTTGAGTCAGTTGGGGTTATTAGCTGTTCCATTAGAGTCCGTTCAGAAAATCTGCCTGTGTGTATACCTTGAAATGCCCTTCCTGTTTTTCTTGACATTCTCAGAGTTTGCTACTTAAGGTCCTTAGTCCATCTTTGAATTGATTTTGTGTGTGTGTGTGTGTGTGTGTGTGTGTGTGTGTAATAAGAGGTACAGATCAAGTTTTCGTTTTTCTACATGTAGACATGCAGTTTTTTAGCACCCTTTGTTGAAAAGGCTGTTTTTCAACCCTGTGTGTTTTTGATATCTTTGTCAAAAATTCTGTGGTTGTAGCTGTGTAGGCTCATTTCTGGATCCTCTGTTCTATTCCGCTGTTGTACAGTCTTGTTTTTATCCAGTCCTATGCTGCTTTCATTACTGTGGCCCTGTAATTTGAGAGAAGATGTTGTTACATCGCTAGCCTTGCTCTCACTACATAGGAGTCTTTAGCTATTCAGGAGTCTTTTGTACTTCCATGTGAATTTTAGGACAGTTTTTTCCCCCAAGTTTTATGAAGGATGTCTTTGATATCTTGATAGGGATTGTGTTTATTCTACAGGTCACTTTTGGAAATATAGCCACTTTCACTATATTAGTTCTGCCAGGGCCAGTGAGAAGGTTCCATGGGTCAAGGGACTTTCCATAAGCCTGACAACGTGAGTTCAGTTACCAGGACTCCCGGGGTAGGAAGAGAGAACCAATTCCTCCTACAAGGTTTCCTCTGGCTTTCATGCACATGTGTATTCCCTCATACACAAATAAATGAATAAATGTAGTTGTAAAAATTAATTCTGCCAAGCAGTAGTGGCGCCTGCCTTTAATCCCAGCACTCAGAAGACAGAAGCAGGTGGATCTCTGTGAGTTCTAGGCCAGCCTGTCTACAGAGCTATTTCTAGGATACAGAGAAACCCTGTCTCAAACAACAAAAAAATTAGTTCTTCCAGGGACAGGTGAGATGGCCCAGTGGGTAGAGGCATTTGCTGGCTAGCCCGACAACCTGTGTTCTGTTCCAGCACCCACTCCTCTGACTTCCAAATGTGCACTAGGGTGTGGGTGAGATGGGGCAGAATAGCAATTATAGACTGATACAATCAAGAGGTCTTGCCATTTTCTAGTGTCTAGCTTAAGACTTTGACTATAGAGGTCTTTGACCTTCTGGTGAAATGTATTCCTGGGTTTGTTTGTGTGGTGTGTATGTGTGTACATGTTCATGGCTTCCGCTGTCATTTTCTACCTCATTATTTGGGACAGGGTCTCTCACTTAACCTGGAGCCCAGTGGTTTGGCTAGCGTGGCTGCCAGCAGGCTGTCTGTCACACAGCCTCTTGCGTCTGTCTCCCCAGTGCGAGGCTAGAGGTGTACAGCTGGCCTTTCTACAAGGGGCTGGAGATCACAGCCCGGGTCTTCATGTTTGCCTGTGAGGACCTTTCCAGCTGCCATCTTCCCAGCCCCTATTTGGTTTTGTTGTTGTTGTTGTTGTTGTTGTTGTTTATTGTGAATGGGATTTTTTTTTTCTGATTTTTTTTCTTGGCAAGTTCATTGCTTTATAGAAAAGCTACTGGGTTTTTTTTTTTGTTGATTTTTGTATATTTTGATGAAAGTGCATATCATAGTTAAGAGTTTTCTGAACGAATCTTTAGTCTTTTAAGTATAAGGTTGTGTAGTCTACAAATAGAGACAGATAATCTGACTTCTTCCTTTCCTGTTCGTTATTTTTCTTGTCTTTTTGCTCTGACTTAGACTCAAATATTATATTGAATAAGGTGGAAAGAAGTGGACACTCTTCTCTTCATTCCTGATATTAAAGGACATGCTGTGTTTTCCTCTAGTACTACAGAGATAAACATGTAATTTCTGTTCTTGATTCTGTGTGCTGTATTTGCCTATGTGGGGACCTTCCTGGGAATCTTGAAGTGAAACTAACTTTGTCATGGTTGTATGATCTTAATGTGTTCTTCAATTCAATTTGCAGTAATTTTATTGAAAACTTTTTATTCCTATGTTGATCAGAGGAACTGGGCTATAATTTTCTTGTTTCTTGATTCCTATATGACTTGTCATCAGGATGATGCTGGCCTCATAGACTGAGTTAGATAATGCTCTGCTTTTTTAACTAGTTGGAGGAGCATTGGTGTTAGCTCTTCTTTAGGAGTTGGTGGAATTCAGGAGTGAATCCACTGGTCCTGAACTTTACTTTTCTAGGGACTTTTATTGGTGCTTTAATCTTGTTGCTTGTTGTGTATATATTTAAATTGTTTATAGCTTCTTGAGTTAATTTTAATAGGTCATATTGTTAATCCCACCAAACAAGAGTAAAGACCATACCCAAATTTTTTTAGTTGAATTACTCAAGCTTTGTTTTCTATCAGACAGGACGGTCTCCCTAAAGCAGGTTTGAGAAAATAGCTTTGAACACAGGAGAGAGTGGGATTTGTGTAGCTCAAGAACTGCAAGATGAGGAAGGTTTGCAAGGGTTTGGGGTTTCCAGAGGAATTTTGGTTATGTAGGAACCAACATCTCACAGGGTGGAGATCAGGGTATATATAGGGTGTGAAACATGTGCAAATTCCAGAAAATGGGTCAAGACATGGTAAAATCCAAGTTTTACAGAAAACAGGAATGAACTTATTTTGACCTTGTAACAAAATGGCTTTAATCTCAAGAAGAGTCAGGCTGGCCCATCAATATATTGCCTAGGAATTTATCCATTTCTTCCAAATTTTCCAGGGGTTTGTTGTTGTTGTTTTGTTTTTTGAGACAGGGGTTTTCTCTGAAACAGTTCTGGCTGTCCTGGAACTCACTCTGTAGCCCAGGCTGGCCTCAATCTCACAGAGATCCACCTGCCTCTGCCTCCTGAGTGCTGGGATTAAAGGCATGCGCCACCACCGCCTGGTGATTTTCCAGGTTTTTGAAATATGTTTTCAAAGAATTCCCAAATGATTCTCTGAATTTTACTGGACTCTGTTGAAACTTTCCTGGTTTGTTGTTTGTTTGTTTGTTTGTTTGTTTGTTTGTTTGTTTGGTTGGTTGTTTGTTTGTTTGGTTGGTTGGTCGGTTGGTTGGTTTGGGTGTATTTGTACTTTTTCCCCACCCCTTTCTCCCTTCCCTCCCTCCCTCAGTTTGTTAACCTCACATTTGAAAGGAAATATATCCTTATTTGGTTAGTTCTGTGTGTTGTTCTTTAGTCGACATTGTACCCATTTCTGTCTCAGTTTTTGCTATCTGCTGCTGTCTACTGCTGAGTGATTTTTTTTTTTTCTTTTTAAACTAGGTGATTTCATCTGTGCCAAAGCCTCCAGAGGACAGATTGGAAGATGTGCATCCAAGTCACCCACGAAAACAAAGAAGAAGAATATAGCTTGCCAGACAGTTAGTCTTGTCTTCTCTTTCTTTTTTCTTTTTGAGCCGGGGTCTCACTGGGTAGCCCTGGCTGGCCTGGAACTTGCTATGTAGACCAGGCTGGCCCTGGGCCTCTGCCACCTGGGTGTTGGTATTAAAGGTGTGTGCCAACACAACCAAGCTAAATTAGTATTTTCTGGCGAGAACCTTTATGTTTTAATTCTCTAAGATATCTCACTACCGGTGTTTTACTGTAAACTATTTTCTTGTATTTCTTTTCAACTGTTTGCAAATGTTTCCATTTTTTTTTTTTTTTGGATCTACACTCAATGTGGCAGAAACAGTTCTTTTCACACTGTATTAGTTCTTATATTACAATATTTAAATTGTTTGAAACAAATACAAAACTCTGGATGCAAATAAGGACAGTCAGGATCTGACTTTAATTCAGGTTTTTGAGCAATTGGTGTTCAAAAACTAGCAGGCGGTTTGTTTCTGAATACCAGGGCTTCAAAATGAAGGCAGTTCTGTAAAGGAAAAAATGCCAATAAAACGTTAGAACAAAGTTGGTATTAGAAATGTACATGCTATTGTAACTTCTAAAAATAATTTAGACGAACTGTGGTGATCTAAAGACTAATCAGTGTTGGCACTTCTAGATTTCTACCCTGGCAGCACATTTGTACTTTTCTTCTGTCAACGGGCCATGTGATTTTGTACTATTTCCATCTCCTTTTCTGGGAAAAATAAACTGAGGAGGCCCGTCCTGCACCACATGCTGTACGCATGTCGGCTCGTGTCCCTAGGGCCTTCTTCAGTGGGTTTTTCTGGCCGTGTCCTAAGAATAAGGTTGACTTCAGTTGCCATGGTGTACAGTCAGCCCTGCCAGTGTGGCTTTTCAGTGCCGGATGATGCCACGGGAAACTGCCAACAAGGGCTTAGGTTCTCCATGCACGAGAGGTGATTACATAGATTGCTGTGCTGAGATCTCAGGTAAGAGGTCTATTAGCAGCTAAGCACGGAGCTGGAAAGAAGAAATGCCCTCGGATCAGGCTGCTCAGATGTAAAGCGGGCGCTGCGCCCTGTTCCTCGCGGGCGGAGGAACAGTTTAGTGCAGTGGCTTGTGCTGTCACAGATGAGGGGTTGGAGATTGGACTGTGCTGCTGAATGGTTAAGAAGATCATTTTCCATGTGTGTAGGGTGTGGCAATCCAGAAACTTCTCTTAGGGTCTTCATGGGAGAAGCTGTTATGTGGTTCTCTGTCATAAGTGCATTCCTGATCTGTTTTGTGAGTGTGAGAAGAGTGTTTGATTATCCATCTTCACCAGCACACACACTAGTGGCCATGAGAAGAAAGGAATGTGCCATGTCAAGCAGGGAAGGAGAAAGTGGAGGCGACAGGCGGCATCCTCCTGAGTTCCCAGCAGTAGAGGTCACAAGAGCACACTGCAGCGGAACTGGCTGCTGGCTGCTCCATCCTGAATGGCCTCCCCAGCCCTGTCCATTTTGTTAAGCTGTGTTTAAACACCAGTCTCCTCCCTCCCTCCCTCCCTCCCTCCCTCTCTCCCTCCCTCCCTCCCTCCCTCCCTCTCTCTCTCTCTCTCTCTCTCTCCCTCCTGCTGTGCCCGTGTGTGTGTGTGTGTGTGTGTGTGTGTGTGTACACATACACATGCACATGTGTGTGTGAAGATGCTCCCTGCCTCTTTCTCTTTCCCTGCTTGACATGGTACATGCATATTCCTTCTTTGTGTGGCCAAGAGGTAGCAGGCTAAGTCAAGTCTGCTAACTATAATTACTGAAATAGTAATGCCGTCTTTAGCCCCAAACTGGAATGAGCTGATGACTTTATGATTGATTGTCTGCAATTTGGCAATGGGCTGAAGCTACACAGTGAGAGGCTAGTGTGTATTATTTTCTAGTCCTTTACATTTTTCCCTTCATTGGGCCAGCAAGATGGCTCACTGTGTAAAGGCACTTGCTTAGAAACCCGACTACCTGAGTTCAGTTCTCTGGGACCCACATGGTGGCAGGAGAGAACAGGCTCCTACAAACTGACTTCTGACCTCCACACAGGCGTTGTCCTAGATCGGGTTACTATCTGAAACACCATGATCAAAAGTCAGTTGGGGAGGAAGGGTTTATTTGCCTTATGCCTCAGCTGTAGTCCACTTGTAGGCTACCATTGGAGGAAGTCAGGACAGGCACTCAAACAAGGCAGGAGCCTGGAGGCAGGAGCTTGTTCCTCGTGGCTTGCCCAGCCCACTTCCTTTTTTTGTTTTCGAGACAGGGTTTCTCTGTGTAGCTTTGGCGCCTTTCCTGGAACTCACTCTGTAGCTCAGGTTGGCCTCAAACTCACAGAGATCCGCCTGGGTCTGCCTCTGTTTTCTTATAGAACCCAGAACCACCAGCCCAGAGATGGCACCACCCACCATGGGCTGGGACCTCCCCCATCAATCACTAATTAAGAAAATGCCCTGCAGCCAGATCTTATGGAGGCATTTTCTCAATTGAGAGTCCCTCCTTTCAGATGACTCTAGCTTGTGTCAAGTTGACATAAAACTAGCCAGCACATGGCATGTGTACCCCCCACACACACACTCATAATTTTAATGAAATTTTTCCCTCATCTACTTTAAGCTTTCAGTATTTGTGACTACCTTTGCATCTGGGAGGCATGGTCCAAACACCTCCAACAAAAGCCTGTCTTTTCTCACTGCTTTTTCAAAGTCTGCAAAAGAGATCTTGCCATCATTGTCATGATCCTAGAGAGAAAAGTGATTTCATGATAAATGATAAAAGTCTTTTTAATTTTGCCTTAGAAAAGTAGCTGTGTAGACTGCCAAGCAAAACTAGAAGTTCATACCGTGGAAGACATTGACACAAATCTCTGGGTATTTATTAGTAGAAGTCACTGATTGATTATTCTAACCTGAGTCTTCTTTGCTATACACAATGCAGCCCTGTCAATAACACACACTGGAATTGAGGAATAATGCAAAACATTGGGAGGGAGAACTATATTAACCTACTGCCCCTTTTGCAATTAAGTAAGTATAATGTGGCTCAGATTTTTTGGCACAATTTTATCCTCTAAAGGCTTTATTTGGGAGCTCATCAGGTAGAAATGACAGCCACTAAGGACAAGGCACCTGGAATTATCATGGTGGCTGTCCAGGCTGGGTTAGATTCATGGAATGGAGGCTGCAGACTCCTGCTAGAATATTAGAGGGTTGAGAGCTGGGTAAGTAGGGAGGTGTGGGGAGCCTGCAGAGTTCTGTCCACCTGAATCACAGTAGAAAACGGGTGTAAGCCAGCAAAGTGTTCTGGACAAGGCTTATGAGAGATTACGTGTGTTGTGCAGAATCCAGGGCATGGGGACTGCTTCAGATTGAGTTGGATGAGATGTCCCTGACTTCATTTTTGTGCATAACTTCAGAATCCAATCTAGAGGAAAATGTGAGTGGCCATCAGAAAAAGAAATATTCCATAAAAATTTCCTTTCCAGATAGGAATTTGGGGACATCTTGTCACTGAAGAAGGCATCTGCACTCAACCTGAGCAGCAGCTAGTATTTCTTTTTTTTTTTTTTTTTTTTTTTTTGGTTTTTCGAGACAGGGTTTCTCTGTGTAGCTTTGCGCCTTTTCCTGGAACTCACTTGGTAGCCCAGGCTGGCCTCGAACTCACAGAGATCCGCCTGGCTCTGCCTCCCGAGTGCTGGGATTAAAGGCGTGCGCCACCACCGCCCGGCAAGCAGCTAGTATTTCTACAAGAGCATACTCTGTAGGTGTTAGACGCTGACCTTCCTGTTCTCTGTTTCCCATCTTTCTCCCGTCTCTCTCTCTCTCTCTCTCTCTCTCTCTCTCTCTCTCTCTCTCTCTCTCTCTCTCTCTCTCTGTGTGTGTGTGTGTGTGTGTGTGTGTGTGTGTATGTGTGTCTCTCTCTCTGTCTGTGTCCATCTCTCCTTTCCCTCACCCTCTGTGTGTGTGACAGAGAGAGACAGAGACAGTCTCAGAGTGTGGCCCTGGCTGGTCTTGAACTTGCAATCCTTCAGACATCCAAGTGCTAGATTGCAGGTGTGCAGCACCATGCCTAGCTTGCTCTTCTCTGAGCCTCAGTGATATCAGGGAGTTTGCTGGGCCTGCCCTGGATTCACAGACCCTTACTCCAAACAGTTCTGGGTCCTTGTAAGAAAAGAATGGATATCAATATTCTTGTAATAAGGAGCCACTACTGTGAGGCTTTATGGCTTTAATTCTGCTTCAGTTTTTCTCATCTGCAAAATGGAAACAATAGTTCTAAGGATAAAATGAGTATAGAGGGCCCTGAAAGGCCTGCTATGTAGTAAGCACTCTATAAGGGTCAAATATTTTTATTGTTATTTTGCTGAAATGAGTGTTGAGATAAATTGAAAAAGGGAGATCATGAAGACAAAAAGCACAGATTTTACATCTATTGAGTCTAGCCTCCTCCCAAATTAATAAGGTTTTACTGATAGTACTATTTTAAAATAGCATTTATTTTACATAATGCCTCTCTAGTCACTGGACATTCCATATGTACTGAGCACCTATTTTCAGTGAGGCATTGTTCTAGGCAGTGGGTAGAGCAGAAGAGGAAGTGAGAACTGCCCGTGGGAAAGTGACTCATCGTGGAGGAAAGGCAGCCACTGCTCGTTCACAGCCTTGTGCAGCAGCTGCCGCTTAGTGCAGTGCATGGCATGCCCATGCTTACCATTTTCTTCAGGCTTATCTCCACCAGCTCCCTTATTCCTTCATCATTGTCTTCTTCAGGGGACTGCTGGGAGAGACTGTTCTTCAGCATGTCAAAAATCTTCTCCCGGGAAATATAACCGTCTCCAGTTAAATAATAGACTTCAAAACAGACTTTATAAAGCATAGGAATAAAAAATTGAACCAATAAAATACCATTAGTTAGTTCAGCATAAGATAATTAGTGATAAACATACAATTCCTGATCTGATCCACTATATGGCAGAGGTTTTATTAAAAAATGCTTCTTGTTAAATTTCTTTCTGCAGGATTAAATACCCCTTGGGAGCTAAGAGAAGAGCTCTCGTAGTTCCTGGAGTTGGGGTTTGAAAATGTGCCGAGCTGCAATAAATGAGGGGGGATTTTTAACTGACTTGTTTGGATGCTTACATGTGTATTTGCATAAGTGTGTGTGTGTGTGTGTGTGTGTGTGTGTGTGTGTGTTCTCTGCATATAGACTATAAAAATAAAGCACACACTTTACTGCATTCTTGGAAAAGGACTCCCCCACTCCCAGGACATTTAGATAGTGAATGCAGTCATCTCCTTGGGGTTTGCCCATCTGCCTTATCTTCAAGCCTCTGTCTGGTGGACAGGAACTTCCATGCTGTCCATCTCAGATGACCTTTTTAATGTCCTGGGAATGTAGCAGTGAAGTAGCTTTCCTGGAGTTAGTGTAGCTAAATGTTTTGGCAAAAACCAGTAATAAACTTGAGTGTCAGATGAGTTGGGTGGCCGTTAAATTTCTCCAGTCCACAGCATAATACACAAAGTTTGAGAACAGGCCTATGTAGAAAATAGCGTTCCCCAAATGAGCTCCTCCTAAGATGTGTAAGAAGCATTTTCGGAAGTGGGATTAGAAAAGACACATCGTCTTCGGTGTGATGCTGTTTAATCATGCAACTCTGTTCAGTGCCACAACTCTGTTCACCAGGGATTAGTGTTCCCACAAGGGTTGACGTCCATGACACAGCTTTCCACTTCTCAGTGAAACTGTGTAAGAACCCTGTAAGGTTGGGGGAGGTGGAGTGGAGAGGGAGATGGCTTAGAGTGCTTGCTTTTAAAATGTGTGAGGCTCTGGATTCAGTCCCCAGCACAGCACTGCACCCCCAGACACTGCAGAATAGGAACTACACACGTGACCTCATGAAATAGTAAATATGAAGGGAACTGCAAGAGCACAAAAGTACTAAATGTCAGAGAAGTTTGTTATTCAAAATACTGCTACAAAATGTTAGTGTGTCTTTAGCTTAGAGGTTTTTCTGGGGGAGGGCATTCAAGACGGTTTCTCTGTGTAGTTTTGGTTCCTGTCCTAGATCTTGCTCTGTAAACCAGGCTGGCCTCGAACTCACAGAGATCTGCCTGCCTCTGCCTCCCGAGTGCTGGGATTAAAGGCGCATGCCACCGCCGCCCAGCTCACTTAGAGATATTTTTATTAGAAAATGTGTGTATGTGTCGATGTGAGTGTATGCCCCGTATGTGCAGATGCCTGCAGAGGCCAGAAGAGGGTATTGAATCCCCTGGAGCTAGACAGATTACAGACAGTTGTGAACCACCCAGTGTGGGTGCTAGGAATCAAACTTGGGTCCCTGGGAAAACTCCTATTCCCTTTATTCTCCAGGCATCTTTTTCTATGTCCCAAATCAAAATTCAAGTGAAAGAGCAAAAAGATACGCAGATCGGCTCAACTACAAAGAACTCTGCAGTCTTTTCTTAAAAGCAAAAATGGATATTTAAGCAGTTTGTTTCTCTGAAAACTGGTGTCTAAAATGTTTTTTATCCTGTTTCCAGGGAATCCTATGAGCAGGAGTAAAACATAGGAAATGGCCATCACCCTGGGGTGGGGGATTGCAGACCAGAGTCACTGCTGTGCAGAGCTGTGGCTCAGGACAAGCTTCCCAGGGCCCAGCACTCCTTCTATTGAGAACACCCCATTGGGCTTGGATTGCCTTTGGTCTTCTCTCGCTTTCCTTTCCTCAGTCATGAAGACCAGAGGGATGCTGGTGTCTGGGCTGTTCGGGTGTGTTGGGCTTCGTCCTCATTCTCTTGTGGTGGAGTGCAGTAACACAGGCCCAACCCTGCATCGAGGCCTGTCCTGCTGAGCCCAGACGAGATCAGAAACCTTGGCTTTGCCAGCTGACCCTTAGTGGCTGTTCTTCACCTGGGCTGTAAGCCAAACACCCACCCTCGTGACAGTTGGCATTACAGACTCTGTAGAGGCAATGGGTCACAACTGGGTCCCCCAATTCATCCTTTGTGGGTTTTTCTTATTTTTCACTCTTACGTATGCATGCATGGATTAATGCTCATGGAGGTCAGTGGACAACTCTCAGGAATTGGTTCTCCTACCATGTGCGTTCTGGGATTTTACTCAGGTTGACGGATTTGGTGGCAAGCGCCCTTCCCTGACGACCTACCTGCTGGCCCTTTATTTCTGTTTGATACGTTATGAGGCATTTTTACAAGGTTGTTTTAGAGAACACTGATTTCATCTTTTTGATTATATAAGCATTCACTTGTGAACAGACTTTCCTGGAAGAAGCTACTTCTACAACTGAGAACTCCAGTAAGTTTGGGGTCTACTTCTACAACTGAGAACTCCAGTAAGTTTGGGGTCTACTTCTACAACTGAGAACTCCAGTAAGTTTGGGGTCTACTTCTACAACTGAGAACTCCAGTAAGTTTGGGGTCTACTTCTACAACTGAGAACTCCAGTAAGTTTGGGGTCTACTTCCACAACTGAGAACTCCAGTAAGTTTGGGGTCTACTTCCACAACTGAGAACTCCAGTAAGTTTGGGGTCTACTTCCACAACTGAGAACTCCAGTAAGTTTGGGGTCTACTTCCACAACTGAGAACTCCAGTAAGTTTGGGGTCTACAGCCTAATTATTTGCCACCTCTCATCTAACATCCTTGTGGCTATTTGGTAAATCCTTTGGAATGTTTCCACCAGCCCAGAAGCTAAGAAAGTCATCAGTGAGGCCTGTAACAGGTCCCCTCCATGCTGTGGCCACCTACCAAATGCTGCCACCAATTTTGACTTATGACTTTGTTGTTTGTTATTATGGAAACTTCACGAAATTGCTGCCACATTGGAATGTGCAATTTGGGTAAAGCTGAATGTTCCCAGCTGTGGTCCCTGTAGTGAGCTTCAGAATAAACACTCTTGTCCCTGTGGGGGTGACAGCTCCAACTGTCGGTGCACCAGCACACTAACAGAATTGATGGGCATAGCGCTAAGCCAGTGAGTGCTTCTTACATTTCATCTTCTCTTCAAAAGTCCCCCGGAGAAACACGGCCAGGCCTTTCACCCACTCCTGCACACTTACGTAGTTGTCACTGTCTTTGTCAAATACGAAGAACACTACAAAGGAGGAACTGTGTGAGCGTGTTGTAATTGTTTTACACCCCCGACCCCGCCGGGTTCAGATAGAAAACCTTTTCTTACAAATTGAGGGGGCACCGTTGGGGTGTTACCTTTCGAAAGGATCAAAATTATTGGAAATGTGGGCTTTCCCCCTTTATTTCTAAAGCAGAAGAGTCATTCCACACAATGAGCAATAATGATCTTCATTTGTGGTGGTTTATGTGGTTGCTAGAGCCAGGAAAGCCATGGAGCTAATTAATGACATAATTTTAATAATCAAAAATAAAAAGTGGTGAAAAACCTGTTGTAGAGTTTCCACAATGTCTCAAAGTAAATTAGTAATGTTAAACATTTTAAGTTCTTAGGTAGTTATCGTTTGGGGTGTGTGTGTGTGTACGAGTGTGTACGAACATGTACCACGGCTCTGTGTGTAGGTCACAGCCTTGTGGAGCTGACTCTCTTCTATTTTAGGCTGGTTCTGGTGATCACAGCTCAGGAAGTCAGACTTGAGCAAGCACCTTTACCCCCTGACCCATCTTGCCAGTCCAATTTTTAGTTACCAATGGAACTTTATTATCTATAGAAAAACATTCAAATGTTACTTGTTCTTTGGAGATGAAGGTGTATTGATGGTTTTGTTTGTGGTGATCTTTTCACAGATATGTGTGTGTTGTGTCATATCTTACCAAATGTATAGTTTAATGATTTACTATAGAATTTAACTGGATATACCAATCACTATCTTGTTTTAGACATGTGACTTTAAATATTCCCAATATAACAAGTCACCATCTTTTGTAATCACATATTTCTATGAAGAAAAAAAAGCCAAAAATGATTTACACATTGGTGTGGCATGGACTTTCATGATTCACATCTGTGGCGTGTACTTTCATGGTTAAAAGCCCTCAGTTGTTTATCCTTAAAAAAAAAATACTGCTAGGCTCTGTAGTTCAGTGGTGATGATTTCTCAAAACTTCCCTGCTCTGAGGCACACAATTCTGATGGGTTTGTGTTAAAAACCATCCTCACATTCCCTCTGGGTATGTGTTTGCAGCACTTTCCTACCAGAATTATTCCTTTCTAGTTGGGCACTGAGAGAAAGTCCAGTCTTGTGAAAAGGACACTCAGATGGGTTCAGTTTTTGGTTGGTACATTTTGGTTTACTGTGACTCCTTACCCCTGTTCATTAACATGTCATCAGTCATTCCGAACACGTTATGCAGGATCCCTCGAAATGTGTTGCAGTCCAGCCTGGCATTAACAAGCTTTCCACTGGGTCTTTCCACAAAGCTATAGAAAAGGCGTATGAGACATTCAATTTCACTTTTCGTGACTGTAAAATGAGAAGACAGATAAGATGTAGCGTTAATCACCAAGTTATTCAATGCAATCACAGCTGTTTAGTTCTTATGATGCCAGATGGCCATATATGATGAGTAATTTGTAGTGTTTGGCTTCTACCAGATCTGCGGGCTTCACAATGGAAATTTGGGGTAGTCACACATGGGGCTCTCGTCCCAGACTTAGTGATGTTTAGGCATGCACAGGTGACTGGTGCAGTCAGGACAGAAACCTGGCATTCGACCTGGGGGTGGGCATAAGACCTAAAGCATCTAGACTGTTTCCATTTCTTTTCTGAGATTTATTTTAGTTTTATGTATACATATATGGGTGTCTTCCTGACACGTATATCTGTACCACGTGTGCAGTACCCTTGAGGCTTGAACAGGGCATTGGATTCTCGGGAGCTGGAGTTGTAGCTGGTTGTGAGCCCCCATGGGAATTGAGCCTGGGCCTTCTGCAAGAGCAGTGAGTGCTCTTAAACATGGAGACAGCTCTCTAGCCCCCGTTTCTATGTCTTATCCTAAACTGCTAAGACTTAACGACTCCTCGGTGCCCTCTCTACTAACAGCTGAGTTGTCGGGGTGCTCTCAGATTCTGCAATCCCTTGAATGTCCAATTGTGTGACTCAACAGCTACTTGAGAGAACAGAAATGGGGAGAGGCAGCTGGTCGCCACGTCGTTTTGTTTTCCTTTTGTTTTTTTTCTTGATCCTTTCCTCCTGTTTGTGAAGGAAGGTGAGGAGAAATAACCTCCTTTGTAAATACTCAGTTTACAACATGTGGGTTCTATGTGAAGAAGGCAGTTTCTATGTGAAGAAGGAAGTTCTTAGGGTACTGACTGGTAATCTTGAGAGTAATTTCAAAGGTGCCTAATAACATTTATTTTGTAGACCAAGTTAAGATCTCTTTCTCCTTAATAGAATGTCATACTATAGCAGTGCAGCTCTGAAATAGGATCCGTCTACGTCTTACGGGACACCCAGGAACCGGGGAGCGGATATGGACTTGACTTCTGCCCTCAAGGCTGTTGCAGGCTGGGCAGGAGATACGTGAGGGACTGTGGTGTGGCTCAGTGGTGGAAGGCTTGCCTAGCATGTGTGGTCACCAGCTCCTCTTAAACCAGCTGTGAAGTGTTAGAAAAAGTATTGTACATCACACAGCAAAGGAAGGGGTTGTGAACTAGGGAAGGTGCTGAGCGATAAAACATTAAAAGTGGGGGTGTCACTGGAGTGGAGTCTCTCAAAGGAGCAGGCACTCACCCGGGAGGCAGCTGGAAGACTCAGGGGTTTGAGTTCTGAGAGCAAAGGGGGGTCCATGGGGCATGTTGGCAGATTTATTTTTAAATCAGAAATGTTTATTTTTTATTTTTTCTGACATATTTTTATTGATTATTTGGAAATTTCACACGATGCACCCCATCACACTCGCTTCCCAGTCCTTCCAAGTCCACCTCCCACCATTTTGCCCCCCCCAAAAGAAAGAAAAAGAAAATAATAACCAAGTCCAATATACTCACGGGGGCATGGTCAATCTCCCAGTGGCCAGCCCCTTAAAGAAAGCTGGGTCCTTCCCCACCCCACCCCCACCAGAAGCCATCAACTGTGAAGAGCTACACTTGAGCATCCCTGTCATAATTTGTAAGGGTTCTCTTCAATGGCTTCTTGTCTAGATGGTTTGCTTTTTGGCGGGGGAGCTTCACAGAACCCTGCACTGCCTCTCATTCTGACCTGTGAGCCTGCAGTAATCAGCAATACCATTGCAAAGTACTTCCTTGCCTCTAAGAGCCGGCAGCAACCTGGGTCACGGACTTTCGCATGGTTTCTGGAGACAGCATGGACCACAGACATCCACACGGATTCAGGCAGCACAGACCACAGACCTCAACATGGTGCCCAGTGGCAGCAAGGACTACAGACATGAACACAGCCTCCAGCTGCCACATGGACTGCAGACACCACAGGGTCGCACGGATCACGGACCTCACATGCTGGCAGATCTTACAGACAATACAAAACTTACCAAACAATTCTGGCTGATAACCAGACCGGTATTTAAGTTTTTACCCACTTTCACAATACATTCTTGGAGTTATTTTTGAATAGAAAATCAGCAATTTGTATTTTGCTACATGATCATAACAATCAGTCTGTCTTTTTTTTTCAATTAATTAATTAATTTATATTGAGACAAGGTCTCACAATGTAACCCAGGCTGGCCTGAAACTCTTAATCTACTGCCTCAGTTTCCCAAGCCCTGGTGTTACAGGCATGCGTTATTGCCTCCATCGATGTGATTTTGGTTTTCATTAGAGAAATGAGATCTAAGTAGCCTCCCTTTAAAGCTAGTGGCATTTGACTGGTGTGGTGGTGGCACACGCCCTTTGTCCCAGCACTCTGGAGACAGGCAGGTGGATCTCTGAATTCAAGGCCAGCCTGGGCTACACAGTGATTTCCAGGCCTGCTACAGCTATACAATAACACCCTGTCTCAGACAAACGAAACAATGCAGTGAGATTTTTGTGACTGTTTCCGCTAATAGCATACAGTGAAAACGAGGCCCTATGGTTGAAGGGCAATACCAAGTGTAATGTTGCCATTTCCCCTGACTCAAACCTTTCCATCCTGGAGGAATGGAAGCCTGAAACTTGGGCTTTTAAAGCTCTTCCCGGTTCTGGAAGTGGTAACAAGTGCTGGGAAGGGGCTCCTGAGCTGCCTGCAAGCTGTGCTCCAGGGATACAACTTTTTCTTAACTTCTTTGACTGTTTCATGCGTGTATATGACGAATTTTAGTCTTCACCTTCTATTCCTCTCATCCCCCCATTGAAAACTCCCCCAAGCCCTCTTCCCGCTCTATTTTCCGTGTGTGCCCCACCGAGTTTAATTAGGTGACTTGCATGGCCGTGTGTGAAGGTTGTTTACCTCCAGAGAGCCTGGGCAACTTCCCAGTGGCTCTGCCACTGAGAAAGTGACATCCCTTCCCCCAGCCATCGTTAACTGCCAGTAGTCCCTCAGGGGGCGGGGGCTCATGAGCCTTTCCCCTTTGCATGATGAAATGTTGACAGGGCTCAGTCTTGTCTTGTGTAGTGAGTTCAATAGTGCAACAACAGAGTCATGTCAAGAAAGACATCATTTCGTAGCACATCCCCCCCATCCTCCAGGTCTTTACTCCTTCTGTCTCCCCTCTTCTGCAATGTTCCTTGAGCCTAGACTGGGCTGATATAGATCAGCCATTTGGGGCCGAGCACTCCACCAGCCTTTATTCCAGCTCTTTGACTGGTCAGCAATCTCTGTGTTAACTGCTGCCTAATGCAATACAGCTTTCTTGAGGAAGACCAAGAACAGCACCAATTCTATGCACACCTGAGTGTTTAGAAAGCGGTTTGAGCATGTCCACTCAGCAAAACGACAGCTGGGTTCCCCCTTCGCAGCGATGATCTCCCTGCCACAGCTCTTGGTCCTCCAGAGCAGGTCTCGACTGCCATTAGGAAATGGTTACCCCCAAACATCCCTGCCACCACTGCACCAGAGGACGCATCTTGTCGGCTGTTACTGCAGCTTAGTGTTCGCGCCTAGGTAAGCTGTTAGCTTTCCTCCCCCAGAAGCCTGCAAGAGCACCTCCAGGCGCTGTAAAAGCCAGCTGGCAGGAAGGAAGCACGCAGCCATTGCAGCTGATTTCTCCGAGTCCTGTGACCAAAGTGTGCGGCATCTTCAGCAACAGTCTTAACAGGTGCTGGCAGGAAGATAAGAACAATGACAGTGGCATGTAGTTCTGGGGCCTCTCTAACCAACAACTCAGGGAACATCCCACACCTGCACTGAGATTTGTGTTAGATAACAAGGCTTCTGGGAGGATTACTAGGGATGTAGGTTTCTTCAGTCATTACCCATACTAGGGTGGGCTTTTTGGTGAGATAGAGGTCTTTGAGTCATGTTCCTGTAAGATCCCTCACCCATATTCCTGTAAATAAATTCACTAGCTCACCAAGCTAGCCTTGGGTGGAATTGTTTCTTTGGTGTGTTGTGCATACCCTGTCTATACTGTATGTGTCTCCCCAAGAAAAGTTACACATTGACGTGGTAGGATGTAGATCACCTAGTGCATAAATGAAATTTCTGGATTGGGTTAACTGAGGCAGCAAGACCCACGCTAAATGTGGGCAGTACCATCCCACCAGCGAGGCCCTGACCTAAGTAAGATTGGAGTGAAAAGTTTGAATTCAGTCCCTCCTCTAAAGACCTACTACATCTAGGTGGCAGTACATCTCTGATAGTGTAGATCTTTCTATTATTTTCAAATTTTAATTTTTATCTCTTGTAGCTCAGACTTGCCTTGAACTTCATATCATCAAGGATGACCTTGAATTTCTGACCCTCCTGTCTCTACCCCCTTAAGTGTTAGGAATGCAGGTGTGAGCGACCACTTCCAGCTTTGGGGTGCTAGGGATTGAACCCAGGGCCATGCCAACATGTAGCAGGCACCCTAGGAAACTTTATCCCCACTCTGTATTCTCCTATCTTACTTCAAGTAAGAGACACACAGGCAGTCTACTACAGACTGTGAGCCCAGTGTACCACGACGTAGTCACCTTTTCACAAATTTAGTGACGACGGGATGTTGATCTGTTATGAGATTAATATTCAGTGTGTTAATTCTATGAGAATGTAGTTTGCACAGCCATGAAGCCAGCATTCAAAGGTAATTCCCTGCCTCCATGCCTAGATTAAGACAATTATTTAGAAAAGGGATTAGAATTGTGTCTTTGGTGGCGCACTACCCAATAGACCTTCCGACATGTTCTCTGTGCTGTTCAATTTGGTAGCCATTGTGCATAGGCAGACTTTGACTCCTGAAAAGTGGCTAGTGCGATGAAGAAAATGGGATTTTAAATATAATCATCTATAGATGGTCATACATAGCGAGTGCCTATCTTTTTGGACAATGCAACTCTAGAAAGTAGTTCAAAATTAATAGACAATTTACACTCAGTGTAGAAAACAAAGCTTTCTAGATTGATCTAAAAAGTATGGCAACAGGGGGGTTGGGGATTTAGCTCAGTGGTAGAGCACTTGCCTAGCAAGTGCAAGGCCCTGGGTTCAGTCCTCAGCTCCGGAAAATTAAAAAAAAATATGGCAACAGTTATATTGTAAAGAATTTCCTTTGTGAGGTCACTAGCTTTATGAGGGTCTGAGAGTCACTTAGTGGTGGCTGCTGACCATAAGAGGTCTTTAGTCATGACGTCATAAACTCTAAAGGTTCCAAGAAGTTCTAAACCAGTGGTTCTCAACCTGTGACCTCTTCAGCAAACCTCTATCTCCAAAACTATTTACATTACGATTCATAACAGTAGCAATATTAGTTATGAAATAGCAACAAAAGTAATTTTATGGTTGGCAGTCACCACATGAGGAACTGTATTAAAGTGTCGTTGCATTAGGGAGGTTGAGAACCACTGGACTAAACCAAGGAAAGCCAAGAAACTTCTGTCATAAGGGCCTAGAACGTTGTACACAAAGAAAAATAAAAACACATGTTTTCCTAAGAAGCCTAAGGCAAACCGAAGTGTCCATGCTCATTATGATAGCATGATGCAGAAGGCCACCAGAGCTGCCTGTGACGACCTGCAGGGCAGTCAAGAGAATGATGATAATCCTTTGTGCAGAGACTCTGAACCCGACCTGTACCAATCCTGTCACTGTCAAAAGGCACAAGTGGCTTTAGAAGGCTGACTCTGAGGCCTGGTTCTCTGTCTGTGAGCACCTCTCATGCCACTGAACTTGTTTATAATCCAAGTGTAGAACAGGCAACTAGTTAGACCAGGGTAGGGCCTTGAAGGCACAGCTATGCTTAACCAGTCAGAGTTTGAGAGCACTCTGAGCACAACTGAAAAATTAATGTCAAAACTTTTGAAAAATGAAGAAATGCAGCAATTTGTTTCTCTTTTCAAACTATCTTTGCTGATTATTACAAATTTTTATCTGTGTAACTGCTTTCAAGTAACAAACCATGGTATTAAACACATGGGTAGCAGACATATCTAAAATAACTTCATTAGGATGAGGAATTTAGATTTTAAATACATACAAAATTTCCTTTTCAGCATTATTAAATAGGCTCACTTTAAAAAGCAGTCATTGGACTAAGGGGGACATCTCAGCTGGCAAAACAGTTGCTGAGTAGGACCTGAGTTTGGATCCCTAGCATCCACGGAAAGAGCTGGTGCAGCAGTGACTGTCCCCCAGCACTGGAGAAGCGGACAAGAGGGTCTCGTCAAACTGGGGAGCTCCAGGTTTAGTTAAGATGATCTTAAAAAACAAACCCTCCAGAAACAAAAGAGTAATCAAGACCCCAGCATTCATCAACTTCTGCCCCCTCTCACAAGCATACACCTCCTGCATGTATGTGAATGTGTGTGTGTGCTGTGGAGACCCACAGAGGTTTCCTAGTGAGAACTTACTCAGGGTCCACAAATCTGAGCTTGCTTTACCCAGCAGGGCTGCATAAGGGGATGAATTGACCATGGCGTGGTTACCAGGTGTTTGGAAGGGTCTTCACTTGGCTGTGGTTACCAGGTGTTTGGCAGGGTCTTCACTTGGCTGTGGTTACCACGTGTTTGGAAGGGTCTACACTTGGCTGTGTGGTGTGCTTTGATCTAGCAAGGGGGGTCTTTTGCCCTGCCCCTTGACATGTTATAAAAAGCCCCTTTGAAGAGGCAGAAGGGGCCATTGGGTATTGACCAAGGTCCTCCTGAAGCTATCCTGTGTTACTGTCTTTCTCATCTCCGCTTTCTATCTAGTATTTTCTTTTTTAATTTTTTGGTTTTTCAAGACAAGGGTTTCTCTGTATAGTTTTGGCACCTTTCCTGGAACTCACTCTGTAGCCCAGGCTGGCCTCGAACTCACCGAGATCCACCTGTATCTGTCTCCCGAGTGCTAGGATTAAGGCGAGAGCCACCACCGCCCGGCCCTATCTAGTATTTCCTTATCCCTCTCTCCTCCTCTTAGGAAACCTTTAAAAGGTGGGAGCTGGCCTCCCACGGTGTGCCATGTGCATACATATAAGCAAGCAATAATCAGCATTTACTGTGCTCATTATTGGCTAAATTAATAAAACCTTAAAGGATTATCCAGGAATTAAATAGTAGTAGGGTGACAAAGGAGACCTGGATAAGTGCTTGAGGGATTCGGATATTTTATAGACCAGCTTGAATAAGGGAAAGCTAAGCCAAGCTTACAAAAACCTTAACACCATGTCCATCCACCTGAAGTCCCAAGGAAGATGCAAGTGTTCAAGACTGGCTGAGGTTAAGTTAACGCCAATGCCTGGATGACTGAAAATGACCGCTGGTCAGGATTATTTGTAGTTAGGTCTGAGAAACAAACCCTCAGGAGTACATCACAATTTTCAGGGCAAGGCTGAACAAAACTGACCTATTAAATTGTTTACAGGCAAACACCTGTAACATGGGAAGCATCACACCATTCATTACTTTGTTGTTGCTCTTGCTGCTGCTGTTTGGGAGACAGGGTCTCACTATGTAGCTCCAGCTAGCCTGAAATTCTCTATGTAGATCAGACTGGCTTTGAGCTCAGGGACCTACCTGCCTCTGCCTCTGGAGTGCTGGGATTAAAGGTGCTCACCAACATGCTTGGCTAAAATTATATTTAAAAAGGTTTTTGGGGTGGTGTGTATGTGGGTATACAACCATGCCACAATGTGGGAGTGGAGGTCAGGACAACTTTGTGGAGTAAGTTTTTTCCTCCCACCTTACGTGGGTTTCGGCAACCAAACTCAGGTGGTAGTCTGGCATGTGTCTCCCAGCATCAAGTTCCTTTACCCACTGGGCCATCTTGCCCTCCCACCCTAAACATTTTGTTATGATATGTGATCTGTATTTATAACTGTGTATGTGTACATCCACGTGTGCAGGTCAGAGAACTTTTGGGAACTGGTTCTCCTTCCACCATGGTGTCCAGGACTCAAAATCAGGCCTCAGGCTTGCATGGCCAATGCTTTAAACCCACTGATCCATCTCGCTGCCTAAAATCACCTGATGTATTTCTATTAGTCCCTAAGTTTTGTGCCAGAAACCACTGGAACTGGTCAAAGTAAACGCTTGTAATTAAGAATTCTTATTGTCAACAGAATAAAATCTATGCTTGGCTGGCAGATTATTCTCCTGCATCTATGACTTTCTCAAGACACTCTCCCTACATGCCCAGATGTGTCAGGACACCTGATGGCTTACCTGTTTCTAAGTGCATGGTAACGCTCACCTGCACATCTGCTTGTAATCTACTGGGTGTGGAATGCAGGTCTAGGACAGCTGTGTTGGTTCTCGGGGCCCCGGGGACTGAACTCAGGTATCCACCTTGGGTGGCAGTACTTTCTTTGGCCCCTGACCACAACTCCCCCACCTTTTTTGAGATAGGGTCTCAACATGTAGCCCTGGCTGGCCTGGAACTCTTATGTAGACCATGCTTCTGCCTCCTGAGTGCTGGGATTCAAGCTATGTGCCAGCATGTGCAGCTCTTACTTGTCTTTAAGTAACCAAACATACTAGAACTGGATTCTTAGTGTTCGGTTACAGAGCACTCAGTGGTGTGCACTGTCTCCACCCAATCCAGCAACCAACGTCAGTCTGAGTCGAGGTGCAGAGACAGTGGTGGAGACCTCAGTACTCACAGCTCTTGACAGTTTTACTGATGGACTCCACCAGTTTCTTCAGAGCCCTCTGTTCCATTTGAGAGTGGTTTCAGCACACTGCTTTCCCAAAGATTCTACTTCCAAGCTTGTGCCCCGAGCTGGCAATAACTCTGTAACTCCAAAACAGAATGTGGCCATAGCAACTTCCTAGCAACCAGACAGAATGTTTGCAAGCAGCTGGAAAGATAAACAAGTGGACGCTGCCATTCAGTACATATTCAGGGAAGTTGTTAAAGTTGTGTGTATCTGAAACCTGCAGCCATTTCAATATTTAACAACGTGTAAAATGGTATTTCATTTATAGTTCCTCAGTGCAAATTAAAAGCATTTTTCTTTTTTTTTTTTTTTTTTTTTTTGGTTTTTCGAGACAGGGTTTCTCTGTGTAGCTTTGCGCCTTTCCTGGAACTCGCTTTGGAGACCAGGCTGGCCTCGAACTCACAAAGATCCGCCTGCCTCTGCCTCCCGAGTGCTGGGATTAAAGGCGTGCGCCACCACCGCCCGGCCCTAAAAGCATTTTTCTATTTGAACATATAACTAAAAAAAAGATGACAAAGTCTTCCTTTAGATTGCAGTAATTTCCCAAGCTATGAATAGCTCCCTCAAAGGCTGCTGCCTACTGAAAAGTCACCAAGCACCTTCCCATGAGACCCACACAGCCTCATATACATGAGCTTCTCAGATGGAAAACCCACTTTCTTGCTCCCAATTGAGACCTGCCGGTAAGAAAACATGGCATGGCTGTGCTAGCCTGGCTAAAATGTCCACTGTCCTATTGCATCTTGAGACAGAGGAGGAACTGGCGTCTAGTCTAAGTGCTGATTTTCACATAGGGGGAAATAAACAGGGGAAGCCATACCCAAGCCATGTTTAGGATTTAGGACACAAGATTTTTTGGGGGGGTCCTGAGGATTAAACCCAAGGCCTCATGCGCCACCTTGATATACACGCATACATACCCCAGTCCCTCTAAGTTTTTAATAAAATATAAAACAACTTCTATAACAATGCAGATACAACTGAGGGAAAAGAGAAGATTTTTTTCAACCCCCTTACAAATACACCTAAAGAACGTCAGTGGTTTCAAGTTGCAATGTGGCGAATTTCTGGTGTGCAGGCTCCCAGCTAAGCCTGGACAGCAACTCCCTTTCGTCTTCCCTGAGGCAACTACACTGCTGGTCTGAAAATGACAAGGAAGTAAGGAACAGGGCTCAGCACAGCTTGACTGAAAGGCACAAATCTCTATTTTGGATAAAATTAAATTTGGACATTCTTAGGGTACTTAGAACACCCAAGGGCAACCAAAGGACTCCTAAGTGACCAAGAAGGCCAGCGCTGGTATCAAGACAACGTTTCTACAGACATTTGTCACTTTCTGGAAGTTACCACAGTGCCCTTCTGTAAGAGACATGCCGTGTTTGTAAAACTCGTGTAAAAACACCCGAGAAAGAAAAAGGGCAATTTTGGTGGAAGGAGGAAGGTGTTATTAATTTATATATTATCAAAACCATGGAATTAATGTAAGGGGCAACACCCCATAAACATCCTTTGTATACCTCTCAGGAGACTGCTAGAGTCACCAAACACCAAGGTGAGTCCTAGACAACAGTCTGAAAAAGACTCAACATTCTTCTCAACCATCCATTTCCCCACCTTCTCCAGTCTAACAAACGGCTGCTTCTTGCAGGATGTAGCTGTCCCATCTAGACCAGTCCTTAAACCGCCCTGTACACTCGGGAAAAGTGACCAACAACTGACCAAATAGGCTTGGACATCAATCTTGGAAAATTTTGGGAGAGGGGGATATTGTATATATCCTTACATATGCATCTTAAAGCAGAAAAATTTGAGGAACTTCCCAAGACACAGTTCTTTTTATCACTAAAAACCCCAGGGCATATTTACCATTAACCTTTGTAACTACTGTGACCCAAAGGGAGGTAAGAGCACAGCTATTTTAAGTAAAATAGCTATTTATTCAGCCTCTTGTCATGCCAAAATGTTCTGTGCATATTTCACTAATTACACACCCTCCGAAACAGGCAAAATTGTACATCGTTATATTTCATATTACCTGATTATATAAAAGTGTAAAATGAAAATGACTTATCAATTCCTTTTAACATTCCTAATAACCCAGAGATATGAGGCACAAAAATCTCAGAAAAACATGACACAGTAAGAGCAGTAATGTAGTTCTCAGGTAAGTTAACATGTCATAATCTGTTATGAATATCCAAAGACAACAAACTTTTAGAACATTCTATTTACTAAGATTCTGGCATAGCTTTATGTAACAAGATACAGCACACCAGGCCTGCCACTCAACTTGTTTGGGGAAGACTCAGCTTCAATATGAAGCCGTTAAAAATTAAAACCAAAAGTCCTGCTTTTTACATGCTAAATATCTTGTAAGTGTGCCATTAAACATAGTAATGAACTTAAGACAGCAAGAGTATGGAGTTAAAAGCTAAACACTGCAGCCTAAACAAAATCTATACAAAACATAAAGGAGCTATCACTGGCTACATAGAAACCTTCTGACTGGTTAAAACCTGTATAAAACATGCACTTTAGAATTGTTAGCTATCAGTTCAGAAAGTACCAGTGTCTACTAAACAATTCCTCTCCAAAGTGTAGGTAAAATGAATTAAAATGACATAACACCATCTAACCCTAAGAAACATTCAGTTATGACTCAAGTGGAGGTAAATTCCAGAGCTTTGGGGGCTTTCTCATGCTGCAAAGTGCTGGGTATCTCTGGTGCATTCAAAGCAGCATACGAAGAAGTCTATGGATGTCATCAACCTCAGTCAAAGGCAGGACTGATGGCGCCCAGCTCTGACCTCCCAGGAAGCATGGCTACTGTGTCCACAAAAGTAGTGTGAGATCAAAGGCACGCTGTTCTGGTAGCTAAAGAGATAGCAAACCACCCCCCTCTTTAAAAGCTCCTTCCCCAAGTAAATCAAAATATACGTGGGGAAAAACTAAAATACTTATCTACAGAGTAAGGATTGTGAAATATTTATGTAATCCCTACTTTGAAAATTTTTACTAGAGTCATCTCATTATTTCTGGTTACATCTTAAAGATGGACCCAGATTCTGTTTCTGTTGACTTATCCTTAAGTACTTCTAGTAAAAAATATTAGCTTTATTCCAAATATCTTAACCACTAGTATGACTGCAAAGCACTGTCCCCCAGAGTCACCAAGCACTGGAAGAGGAAAAGGTGTTCAGGCAGCAGGCAACAATCATGGCCCTTCACACAGCGGTATCCAAGTGGCTACTGACTAGTCCAGGAAAGTCTAAACACAAGGGAATTCATGCACGTCACTACATAGTCAGAATCTTCACAGTTGAGAGCTCCTTCGACATTGCACTCTGTAAGGGACCCTGGTCTTCCTTCCCGAGGCTACGCTGAATCTGAACTTGAACCCGCGGCCTTCTTTTTCTTCTTCTTGCTGTGCTTCTTATGCTTCCTTCTCTTCTTGGCTTTGTCCTGTAAAGATATTCCACGGCAGGCATCACTACTGTGCCTATTGAAAACACGCCAGTGAGGAACATCAGCACTTCTACACCCAAGCTGCTACATAAACAACCAGAGAAGCAAGCAAACTAGTTAGGACGTTCTAGACAAGCCCCAACAACCACAGCTATGGAGTCTAGGAGTGCTTGCTGAGTCTCAAAGACAGGCACATTAGCAGTTTCCAATAGAAACTTCTCTGGAAGACTCACCTGAATCATGCTATCAATCGCTACATCTCATGTTATACACAACTTCCAAAGGAAAAGGCACTACAGTTCCAACACAGGACACTCACAGACAGCAAGCCACAACTGCTTTAGTGTGTCCAAGTACGTAATCTAATATTTTTAAGTTGGAACATAAACTGTGTACTGTTCAGACTGCAGCACTACTTTAGCTGCTAATACCAACCACTAACACTGACATATCCTTAGAAGTATCTTTTATTTAATAAAACATATGCTTACTATTCTTCTTTTTGTTTTGAGACAGTATTTCATGTAGCCTAGGCTGGCTTTGAACCTTGAACTCCTGATGCTAGGATTACAGGCACAAACCACCACATCCAACCAAATGCCATTTTTACAGGGACATCTCTGCCCTGGAAAAGGAGTGAAATTTTTAGTGGATAAAGGGTGCTGGAGTTTTGATGATCTCTAACTCTTCTGAGTGCTTCTGCTACAGAAGTAAAGGCAGAAATTCCAGGCTACTAGTATAGCTATTCAGGAGGAAGAAGTGGTACCCAGGCAAGGCAGGCAGAGCTCCCTCTCCTCTGCTACTGTTACAGAAGAACCTTGCAGCTTGCCTTCTTGGGGATGCTGCTGAAGACAGAGGAGCAGCTTTGTGCACAGATAGCAAGCACTCTATCACCAAGGCACATCTGGGCTCCCCAGAGCTTTTTTTCTTTTTAAAGCATGTACTTGAATATAATTTTACAAAGAAGCCAAAAATCTTCAATTTGAACATTTACGTATTGTGGTACTGGGATGGACTCCTCGGCCTTGTGTATGTAAGGCAAGCACATTACCACTGACTTACACCCTCAGGCCATGGGGAGGCTTTCTTTAGCTGCTCACTCTTCTCCATATATACACGTCTCCCCCTCTCTCATACTCAACTGCATCTCTAAGAACTAGACCATGCCTAGTGTAGATGCTGAGTAACAAACACACACCAGTACAAAGAATAAACCAGTACGCAAGTACATACTAGACTTAATCACAGGTTTTTCTAATTAATCAATCTAAACTACAGTCTAAAACAGTCAACTAAATTATTTTCGCACTCAGAAAAAAATGTTTGCCACTGTGGTCACAAAACACATAAAAGTGATTTTGGAATCACTTATACCCAAGTAAACCCAAGTTCCAGAGAAAGGCCTTGTATTAAGAGCCACAAAGTTCTAGGAAAAGTTTACCCTAACCCTACAACTGGGGATATCCTCATTTTTTTCTTTTACCTCTCCTTAAGAGAGTGCCTTCCAAGGCCCACGCTTATACAGAAGACCCTGACACTACTTCCCAGATATGGTCTGTACTACTCTCTGAAGGTATCAGCTATTTTCCTCTTTTGGCCTGCTTCTCATTTGGATACATTCCCATTCTCTTAAATTTTCTTCTTTCTCTTTTCCTATTTCTCAATTTGCATAATGGCAGAGCTGGTTTTAAAAAGAATATGGTGGGGGGGTGGCACACACCTTTAATCTCAGCACTCAGGAGGCAGAGGCAGGCAGATCTCTGAGTTAGAGGCCAGCCTGGTCTGCAGAGTGAGTTCCAGGACAGCCAGGACTACACAGAGAAACTCTGGAAAAACCAAAACCCAACAAACATGCATGTTACCACTTCCAGTTCTCACTGCTGCTAATGCATGTTACCAGCAGTTCTCACTGCTGCTAATGTTTTGAGAAGCCTTTTCTATTATTCTAGGTTTGGCTGACCTGAAAATACTTTCTTTTAGAAGACTGAGGAAACCACTGTATTTAATTATCGCTTAAGAAAGTTAAGTAAGAGCTGGAGAGATGGCTCAGTGGTTAAGAGCACTTTCTTTCTTTCCCTTTTTTTTCGAGATAAGGGTTCTCTGTGTAGCCCTGGCTGTCCTGGAACTTGCTATGCAGACCAGGCTGGTGTCACACTCAGAGATCCGCCTGCCTTTGGCTCCTGAGTGCTGGGATTAAAGCAGTGTGCCACCACCGCCTGGCCTGGTTAAGAGCACTTCTTACTCCTGCAGAGGACCTGGACTCAGCTGCCAGCACCCATGCAAAAACTCCAGTTACAGGGTGTTCTGTGCCTTTCTGAACTCCATGGTCCACAGACACACTCAGGCAAACACTCATACAAGCAAAAATCAAATAAAAAATAAGTTGAAGCATACGTGTGTTTAAATATATAAATTATACATATGATTTTCTAACTCTATTTTTATTTATTTTGCATGGATAGGTGTGTTATGGTGCACACGGAGGTCAGAGGATAAGCTGGTGTCCTAGAGATCAGCAAGCACCTTTACCCACTGTGCCATTTCATCAGCCCCTTGAAGTTGTATTTCTTTTTGTTTTCCTTGATAGGGTCTCATTCTGTAGACCAGGCTGGCCTTGAGCTCGGAGATCCGTCTGCCTCTGCCTCCCAAGTGCTGGGATTACAGGTGTGCGCCACTTTGGCCAGCTCTGAACGTCTGCTTCTAACAGTAAGATACTGAAGTCAGGGGATGTTTGCTGCCCTCTCCTAAGCCTACTTGCTTCTCCCCATCAAGTCACAAAGGTGACGGACACCACTATCCCCAGTACTTCACTTGGTCCCAGCTGAACTAACGTGACAGTTAAGAACACTGGGTCTGCCGCTGTCTGTAAAAATGAAAGATACTTGCTGTTCTCTCGCGCTCTTCACCGCTTTTCTTCCTTTTTGCTTGCACCTATGAAGGTGAAATTTGTGTGAACAGAAGACAAACGTAATTTGTACTTAGTGCATTTATCTTACATGTTCGAGTTACACGTAGAAAATTTTGATTGTAAAATCACATTTTCATGACTCCTGTTATATCAATAGTTTCAATAACAAAATGGTAAACTAAGACTTTACGTGTTTCTAAGAGCTCCCCTTGCATTGTCTCTCAGCACCAAAACTGAGGAGTGCCAACTGTGGGAAGGTGTCATAACTAGCACAACACAGCCCAGCACCTGAGTCTCAGCTGCAGCTCAATCACTGTTAGCACTCTGCACTGCCAAAGTGGTCACACATATAGTGCACTCTCTAGAGCAGCGGGTTCAAATCCTTGGAAATAACAATGCTCGTATCATCTGTATTTCCCTTTGACCTTTTAAAGCATGGTGAACTGAATTCAAATTAAATCAAAAGTTGTTAAAACCCGTGTATATTAAATGTTAAGTACAAATAAGATATTTTATTAAGCATTCCTTTTTATATACTGGCTAAATGTTAACTATTAACAGTACTAGACCATAAAAACTGCCTAACTATTGAGTTGTATGGTATACCTGTTAGATAACTGTATACTGTACACATGAGACAACACATAAAAAAGTCATCAACAATCTAAGAAGACTAAGGATTAAAGGAACAGACATAAACAGTAGGTATGTTTGCTTGCAATTAGGTGGTAGCTCTCTGAAAGCTTGTCTAAATACTGTCCACTATTCTGGAAAATGACAGGAGGCAGAGATTTCTGAAGGTCCCAACTCCAGCCTGAACTGACTTTTTATCTTCCAGTCTCATATTCGAGTGCTTATATGTTCAAACACAACTTCATCAGGTTACACACTGCTACTTACTTTCATGTCTTCTATTAGGGGACAGTAATATAAAAATTAGTGTATCTAGCTTATATTAGCAATGAGTTTCATTTCAAAGAGCATAAAACATACAGCTATAAGATGGGGCAGCTGGTGTGATGGGTCTGAGGGTCATTTTCATAAACCAAAAACAATGAAGTAAAAAAGGAGATAGGAACAACCAAACAAGGAAGGTATAGAAGGAGCAGGGAGTTGAGAATCAGAGTAGACAGACAGACAGACTGACAGCTGGGCAAGATGGACGCCAAAGGAGAAAGGCCTAGCGAAGCCAGACTCCAGAAACCAGCTCCCTTGGCAGTGCCCAGACAGTCCATGTAAGACACAAATGAACAAACAGCATGTGTGACCCTTCTTCCTACTTTAGCCAGACTGGACCTCAGTTTGCACACTCTATCTGTACAGCGTCTTCCACGTAACCAGAAGGACAGTGATACAAATACGGCATTGGAAGGGTACGGGAAAACACAGCGATGATGACAGAGTCCTTCGTGCCTCACCTCTTCACAATCCGACCCGGACAATGACGCAGAGGAGAGCGCTCTGTCTTCATACAGCTTTCTTTTTTTGCTGAGTCCTTTAGTGTCCTATAAAAACAAATACATGCATGCCAATTTAAAAAATACTCTGCCATGAAAACCTTATGCTTTTTTTTTCAAAGTGAAAAATTTCTATTTGTTATAGTGTGTGTATATCTGCATGTAGGCACATGTGCGAATGTATGGCAGTGAGGGTACCTCCACAAAGTCTTTTTATTCTTTCCTGCAACTTTGTGGGATCCAAGGATTCAGCTCAGGTTGCCAAGTCTGCACCAAGGGCTTTTTTTTTGCTGAGCCATCACACAAGCCCAAAACCTCATGTTCCTAAGTTACATTTAATAATTATTCTAATTATTCTAATAATTCTTCTACAAATCACTCAGCTTTAAACTTAGAAATTTCTAACATAGTGACATTTACCAGGACTTAATTTTTTATTCCACTACAGTAATACTTTCATTTAAGAACTTGAAGTAACTACATATCCATTTAGATCAGCAGTTTTTAACCTGTGCGTTGCAACCCCTTTGGGGATCAAATGACCCTTTCACAGGGTCACCTAAATAAAACAGATACTGACATTACAATTCATAACAGTAGCAAAATTATAGTTATGAAGTAGCAACAAAAATAATTGTATGGCTGAGGGTCACCACAATATGAGGAACTATACTAAAGGGTTGTAGCATTAGGAAGCACTAATTTGGAGATAATGTTTTCATTTCCTTAAATTAACAGATACAATTTTAAGGTCCTAAGAAACCAAGATGGTGGAAGATTTAGGTCTTTTGTATTTTAATCCTTTTGTTTCTACTCAGGATTTCACCAGAAAAGAAAACCAGTTGGTAACTACCTGCTATGATTTAAAAGGATGTCTGTATAATGACATTGGTATATTTATAGTTTAAAGATTTCATTTGTATTTATATATATGTGTGTACGCAAGAGTGTATGTCATGTGTGTGTGCAGGTACCCATGGAGGCTGAAAAAGGGTGTCAGATCCCCTGGAGCTGGAGTTAGAGGTGCTTGTAAGCCACCCAATGTAGGTATTGTGACCCAAACTGGGAACTCGGGTCCGATGGAAGAGAAGCAAGCCTGCTTAACTGCAGCGCCAACTCTCCAACTACTACACGGACATTTTAAAGACAGTTTAGTCTGGGGCAGCAAGACAGCTCGGAGTAGAAAGACACCAGAGACTCACACAGCAGCACAAGGGGAGAACCCGCTTCACAAAGTTCCATACACACGTGGTGCACACCATCACCCCCACATCATGTGCACATGTGTATGTGTATACACACAAACTAAAGCTTTTATAATGTACTTAGGAATTTAAGCAGACATTTTAAGAACTAAAAATTATGCAAACATCTAGCATGTAAACATTTAGAAATGTAAACTAATAAACACTTTGGTGAGAAAATCTTTAGATAAATTAAATGTATCCACATTTTGGGAACCTAGAAATTATAGTCCTAGATATGCATATTAGAAAATTAAGAATAACTCATAGGAGAAAAAAACAGTTAAGAAATACCCACTGTACAGAGCCAGAGAAGTGAACTTGTTGCTATTGCAGAAGACCCTGGTTCATTTCCAGCACCTCCATGGTGGCTTACAACTGCATGTAACTCCCAATTCTGGAGTAACTGATGCCCTCTTCTGCCTCTTTTGGGCACTAGGCATGTACATGGTGCATATGCACACATACAAGCAAAACACTTAAACACATAAAAATGAATATTTGCACTGCAGCAGTCTGTAATGTTGAAAACTGTAAATAACTTGGTGGCTGCAGAGAGGGCTCAGTGGTTAAGAACACTTACTGCTTATGCAGAGGGCTCATTTCAGTTGCTAGCACTCACAACAACCACCTGTAACTCCGGTTCTAGGAGATCATATGTCCTTTGCTGGCCTCCACATGAACACACTTGCATGCATGTGGTGCACATAAACTCATACAGACAGTATACAAATAAATAAATCTATTAAAAAATGAAAACAATCTAGATGATCTATAAGGACAACAGGGAATAAATGCAATATTGTAAGCAAAAGAAATAAACTTGAAAACATCAGGGATAAATGTCAACAGTAATGCTGAATAAAAAGCTGGTTTCAAAACTTGACACTTGGCTGAGTGGTGGTGGCGCACGCCTTTAACCCCAGCACTCGAGAGGCAGAGCCAGGCAGATCTCTTTGAGTTTGAGGCCAGTCTAGGCTACAGAGTGAGTTCCAGGAAAGGCGCCAAAGTTACACAGAGAAACCCTGTCTTAAAAAACCAAAACCCAACCAAACCATACTGTGTGTTACTATGAATACATATACACTTATTTGCTAAATGTGGATGAGAGCATGAACATTCATCCCAGGACCACTGCCTCTGCAGGAGTGGTGACTTTAAACAGTCAAACAAGATCAGAAACAAATGGAAACCATTTATTAATTCTAGCCACCAGGAGGGTGGCTGGTTCAGCCTTTCACTTGTATTACTTAGTTTTAGGTTCATGTATACTTTTTTGAAATATGAAAACAACCATTATTTTTAAATAGTTTTGAACATCAGGAGCTAATACCAAATCAAGTGACATCCTTTGGGTAACTACTAAAACAATCATATGGGTTTTTTTTCCTTCTATTAGCTAATATACACCAATTAATATTAAGAATAGAGAAGCTATAGTGGAGACCATGTGGTCACAGCCCCAGCTGCTCAGGAAGATCCCACCATTCTGAAGCCAGCCTGGGCAACACAGGGAGTCCCCATCTCATAAATAAATGAATTCATATTTTTAAAAAACCACTGCACTAATATGAAATTCCTGGATATGATACACACCACCGTTAACTTCTTCGTCAGTGCTGTGACAGACTATCTGAAGGCAATGTAAAAGTAGTTACCTTCTCTTTCTCAGTCACATCCTTTGACTTCTTCTTCTTTTTTGAACCATCCTGCATGAATACACAAAGAGACACAGTACAAGTGTAGTCCTCCCCCAAATTGATCTGACTCATGACTAATGAGTTTGCTTCAATATCAGAATTTATTGCACAAATAATAAGCTCAATCTACTTTATGTGTATATCTGCATGGAAGACAACAGACCTTTTCTGTTACCTAGCTGAGTAAAACCTATATACCCCTACAACAGTCTGCAATACCCAAATGGCTTATCTTAAAATGGGGCCTTACACCACTGTCTGTCTGTAGTGGCCACATGCACTCAAATTCTATAATCCACATGGTTTTCTGCCATCCACCAATCTGATTTGCTTACTGTCCTCATCAGGAATCCTGCTTTTATTCCCTTAGTTCTAACTACTAACCTCTGTATTAACAAACAACTCCCTCATACAGTTGCTCAAAGGGTTAAATGCATTAACTGTCAAGGGCCTACCCAGGACCTACCTACCACACAGCAGGCCTTCCAGGAACACTAGCTATCATGATCACAGGACTGCTGCCTTAAAGACACAGAGATAGCCAACAGTCACTGAGGACTTTCCACACTGGGAACTTTGTCAGAAGAAATCTTCCCAGGGCAAGTGAACAGGAGAAAGAAACCTGAACAGGAGCTTTAGTTTCCTGAGGCCCCTGTGTTCCTTGGGTGCCCTTTGTCAGAACCATGTAGGGCATTTGTCAAAAATATAGACTATTTCTGATTCTAATCAGACTCTGGAAATGGGACCTAGGAATCAATTCTTTCTTTTTTGATACTGAAGAGTGAACCCAGAGTCTCTCCCATAATATCAAGCAAGCTCTCTACCACATTTCTCCACTGGGAATAAATCAATCTAAATAAGTAGGTACCATAGTGTCTACCACTGAGTACAGTCCTGGCTGCTGGAATCAACATTTTTATAAAATACTTCACACTTTTGTTCTTGACATTTCTAGTTAGTACAGAACAAATTTAGGTAAAATAGAAAGCACACCAGGCTAGCTACTAAAAAATAATCTTTTGCCCCTGAATTACAAATATTTTTTTGAAAATGGAAGGAACAATAACATGGAGATTTGGAGACCCAGACACATGTATATGAAAGTACTCAGGGAACAAATACATGCTACATGGGCAGTATTAACTACACCAGTCAACTGGTGCGGAAAGAACCTCAGAGTACAAAAGTCGTACATGCTCCCTCTGACCGCAGTGATGTCAGACAGGAGCAATGGACAGAACCACGGAGTGCTTTGCTCTCGGCAACTCAGTGCTGGGGTCTCACCTTGCTGTCCGAGTCGGAGTCCGACACTGAGCTCTCGGGAGACTTATGGCAACGACTCTTCTTTTTCTTCCTCTTTTTTGTTTGTTTTTTATCCTACGAAACATTTAGAGACATTTGCTTTCTGTCTCAGAATATAATTTATCCATTTAACCAATATCACAAATGAAGTTAAGGCCAGAACTTAATGAAAGGACCAACTTATAAACATATTTTCCTCAATGAATATTTATAATGTAACATACCATTTTTCTATTTGAAGAGTCAAATGATCTGAATTATGTTTGTAATTCTAACCAATGAGTCAAACGCATTTTAGATTTTTCAAAAAATAAATTCTATTTTAAATGGACTAGGCAAACTTAAAAAACAAATACTAATATCTAAACATCTCATCATTTCATGTATTCATTTATGGGTACTTTAAGCTATGAACAATTAATTAAAATCAGAAAGTCAACATGCCTAGCAGCAATTTCACCACAGGAGTCTCTTGACATTCAATTCAAGTAGACAGCAATTACTTCATGAACCACCACAGCCAATCTTACCTCATCTTCAGAATCTGAAGAACTGCTGGAAGAATCAGAGCTCGATGAGGAAGAAGATGAATACTTGACCAAGCACAAAACAATTAAAGCTTGTGAGATGCAGGAATTGGTTTATTAACTCTCTCAACTACTTAGTGAAATCAATCTAGTGTCTAACAAAAAAGCCAGCTCTGTCTCCCAGAAGTTCAACGAAGTGACAACTTATGTAGCAATGATCGACAATTATCCTCCTTAGCAGCAACAGAAAAATCACTAGGTTATGAGGGAGTTGACATCTCCTTCATGTCACTGAGAGAACATCACCCCCCACCCCCCACAACCAAAGGACTCCCGGACTACTTGACTCATCTACAGTCTAAGTTACCTTTAGCATACAGGTAAAAAAAAAATTAATCATTCTTACTTTTTTTTTTTTTTTAGCTTTTAATTGTAACATTTAGAAAAAAGAAAACTTTTGCTCACCCTACCAGATTTCTTCTTTTCTTTTTTCTTTCTCTAAATAGAAATAAACACAAGCCTGAGTAAGTGGATGAGATTCAAATGTCTTATTAACACACCATCGTGAAATCCAAAGATAAGAATGGCAATAAACAAAAAGGGTGTTACCTGTCGTTTTTTGGATGAGCTCTCATTTCCACTTAATAATTTCTCTCTGTGTTTTTCTAGTTCTTTTTTCCAATTCTGCAGAAAGGTGAAGACATCATTAGAAGCTTCTGTCCCCTTTTCTTTCCGAGATTCTTATTACCACTCACCATCTCAGCTTTCTTTTTTAAACAGAGATTTATTTATTTTCATTTGTATGCACATCTGTGTAAGATGTGTTTTTTCCAAGACAGGGTTTCTCTGTGTAGCAGCCCTGGCTGTCCTTGAACTCAGAGATCCACCTCCCTCTACCTTCCGAGTGCTGAGATTAAAGGTATGTGCCCCCATGCCTGGGTTCAAAAAAATTTTAATGAAACCCTGTCTCAAAAAACCAAAAAAGCAGTCTCACTATGGATTACCATGAGAAGTCAGAGGACAACTCTGTGGGGTTGGTTCTCTCCTTCCATGATCTTGTGGGTTCTGAGGATCAAACTCAGATCATCAGCCTTTGAGGCAAGTGCCTTTACTGAGTCCTTGTTTTTATAGAAAGTATTAATTGACTCACAAACCTGCCTTTCAATGTAACAGTAAAATTCGTAAAATCTAGAATCCCCTTAATGCCTAAAGTGCAATGCTCAAATCCTTGGTTTATTAAAGTGAAACAATTAAAAGAGATTTCATTTTTATTGTAAGGAAAAGATCTGTCATTTACAAACCTCATTCATTTTCTCTTCAAATTCAGCCAAAGCTTTGGAACCCTTCTTTTTCTTTTCCAGCTGCTCCTTTACTTCCTCCCTTAAAAACAGAAAGACAGATGCCATTTCCAGCATTTCAATTGAAGTGGATGGACAGAGACAGGATGAAATTTTTTGTAAATAACATTTTAATAGTCTAAGACCCTTGTCATATTGATAGTTCAAATTCCTTTGTTTACAACCATGTAAATAATCATAATAAAGCCCACCAAGTGATATCAATCCTCTTCTAAACCCAGAATGCTTAATTATTATTTTGATTAAATCTCACAACAACCCAGTAATAGGTACCTTACTGCCTTACTCAAGTTCAGAGAAAGTAAGACATCTGTCTCAGACCACAAGCTGTCAATGTTAAGATGAGCCAAGTAAGTCTATCTTACTCAATGCTACATCCCATAGTAAGGCCTGTGACATAAAATACTCGACCTGCCTGCCAAAGGCTTCATACAGCCTACCTTCTTGGACCACTGGCCTAAGGTGGGCATCTTGGAGATGGATTTTGGATGTCTTACCATCCCTCAATAAGAGTAGCATATCCCTGGGGCTGGAGAAATGGCTCAGGGGTAAAGAGCACTGACTGCTCTTCTAGAGGACCCAAGTTCAATTCCCAGCACTTACACGCAGCTAACAACTGTCTGTAACTCCAAGGACTGACACCCTCATATAGACATACATGGAGGCAAAGCACCAATGCAAATAAAATAAAATAAACAATTAAAAAAAAAGAGTAGTGTATTCTGTCTAAACTCTGTAAGTGGGAAGACACAGTACAGTTTAGGGCGAGTACCTGCTTTATTTCCGGGAATGCGGAATTTGAGAATGTGACGGCAGAGGCTGACTAACCAGCAATAAAAATCCTGGGCACCAAACACCTAATGAGCCTTCTGGGCTGGCAACATCCCACATGTTGTCCTAATTCCTTGCTAGAGGAATAAGTGTGCCTTGTATGATTCTGTTAGCAAGACCCCTTGCAAGCCTGCGTCTGACTTCCCACTGGTCCCCTTTTCAACAAGACCTGACATCCTTCTGTTGCCATTAATCTTGTTAAGAGTGGGATTATCTGCCAGGACTCCTCTAAGTGCTCTTATGAATTACCCAATCTGTGGGTTGTTCTAAGGCTTCTGACTCATGGGCATTAAAATGTGTTCTTGAGCATGTCCTCTTTAAATTCCATCCTCTCTTAGCATGTTAAAAGTAAAATAACATTTTATTTGGGGGAACTTTTCTGGTATGCTGCAGTGGTTAAGAACAATAATTAAGCACACTGGAAGAGATGGACATTTGAGCTGAAAGGATTCCCTATAACAGACAGTAAGCATCAACTACAGCTGCCTGGATCTAAAGGTATTCTGCAGCTGGTGATTTGTTACTTCGGGACTGTAGTAGAAACAAAAAGGATGAAATATTAAACAATAGTGCCTGAAACTGTGACTGTGTATTTACAAAGATGAGAGCTACTCCTCCAGTTTTTCTGACTCGCCTGAATCAGCTGCTACACTTGGAACAGCACCATACAGTATTCCTACAGCTCCTCGCTAACTTCTCCGTGAACCTCCATGAAGGCCCATCATTTTAAACAGCACGGAACTGCAAGGTTAAGTGGGACATTTTAGAGGCTGCAGAAGAGAGTGACAGAAGTCTTCTTCCAAGTGTTTTAGCCATGCCAGGTTCTCAAATGTCTATTTTGTTCATGCGTGTGAATCACATATTCAAAACAAAACCCCTGTTAAATGTTACTTTAAAAATCACTCATTATTCTGGATGTTCACATGTAGAAGAATGAAATTAGACCCACATATATTATCCTGAACAAAAATCAAATCTAGCCAGGTGGTAGTGGCGCACGCCTTTAATCCCAGCACTTGGGAGGCAGAGGCAGGTGGATCTCTGTGACTTTGAGGCCAGCCTGGTCTACAGAGTGAGTTCCAGGACAGGCTCCAAAGCTACACAGAGAAACCCTGTCTCGAAAAACCAAAACCACCAACAACAATCAACTCTCGCTGGATCAAAGACCTTAGAGGGAGGCAGAAAGGCTAAAGCTGAAGAAGAAAACATAGGCTGTGCCCTGCAAGATACAGGGCCAGGAAAGGACTTTCTGAACAGCACCCAAACTGACCAGGAACGAAGGCCAACAAGTGACAACTGTGACCTCATTTAAACTGAAGTATCTGCATAGCAGAGGAAACATTGACGGAAGAGGAAGCTCACAGAGAACTCTAGTTGAATTTTTGATAGAGGATCAATACCCAGATATACAAAGAAATCTAAAACAAAGAATCAAGTGCTGGGGATGTCTATCTATATGCTGTGAATATGTTGCTCTGATTGACTGATAAGTAAAACGCTAACTGGCCAGTAGCCAGGCAGGAAGTACAGTATAGGAGGGATAAGCAGAGAGAATTCTGGGAAGAGGAAGGCTGAGTCAGGAGACGCTGCCAGCTGCCGCTATGAGAAGCAAGATGTAAAAGTACTGGTGAGCCACAAGCCACATGGCAACTTGTAGATTAATAGAAATGGGTTAATTTAAGACATAAGAACTAGGGCTGGAGAGATGGCTCAGAGGTTAAGAGCACTGCTTGCTCTTCCAAAGGTCCTGAGTTCAATTCCCAGCAACCACATGGTGGCTCACAACCATCTGTAATGAGATCTGGTGCCCTCTTCTGGCCTGCAGGGTTATGTGCACTGTATATATAATAAATAAATAAATTAAAAAAAAAGATATAAGAACTAGATAGCAAGAAACCTGTCATGGCCTTACAGTTTATAAATAATACAAGCCTCTGTGTGTTTACTTGGGTCTGGGTCTGGGTCTGAGCGGCTGCAGGAGCCAGGTGGACACAGGAAAACTTTAGCTACAATCAAGTAAACACACAACATAATTAAAAAAGGGAGTTGTACCCAGGATGATAATGCTACCCGAAGGAGTCATAGATTATAACAATAAATACCCAGTGCCAAGCATGGGAAACTTCCCTGAGTTGTTGGTCAGGGGGTCAGAGATTCCAAAACAATATAGGCTATGGCCACTAACTTTGGTGGCCTCCCAGAACTTGAAGGTAAGAGCCTATTGCTGTAGACTGATTACACACTTTGGATAAGGGACTTGGAGGAGACAAGTTGGACTGATGTGTAGCCTCTTTTCTGAGGACAGTTCTGGAAGTATCTGAAGGTGCTATCCAGGCTGCCAAGGGAGAGACACCAGTGGTAAAGCCTGCCAACCACAAAGATGAGCACAGCATATCCCTACTGGTGCAAGAGTGATACCTTTAGCTTGGAGGTAGCCATCAGTTAACTGGACTTAAGGCCCGTGTAGGAGGGAATTTACAGCTAATACTGCAAATTTAGCCAACTGCTTGTGGCCAGTAAGACCACAGACCCTGGAGGAGAACCTACTACTGCCATTTTCCTAATCAGATAAAACTACTAACACATTCTAAATACTTATCCTTATATCCAGATGAGGGCAGGTCTCATCCCTCAACAGAGAAGCTTCTTTTTGTAACAGATGGAGACATGGGTGCTCACCCCAAACTGGTATATCTACAATGCAACCTCTACATGTAAGGTTCAGGGAAAATTATAGAAAAGGGGGCCAGAAAGATTTTAAGAGCCTAGGACCAAGATGCCCACTGAGAGATGGTGTCTTTTAGACATGGCAGGGGAAATGTAGCCATGAAATTACAACATATGGCTGCCTAAATAAGATCTGCATAATGACACCACCAGATGACAAGCCAACTTGGATGAAGATGTCACAGGAATGCTGGGGGTAGGTGGGTGGGTAGGAGCCACTGAGGGGAGAAGGTGGAGAGAGAGAGGGAGGAAGAGAGAGGGAGGGAGAGAGAGAGAACATGAGTATGAATCAGTTTTCTTCAGGGATGAATTCCCTGATAGGCCATCCAAACCCAACTGGTCAGCCTTAGACACAAGATGAATTCAATTCAATAGGGTGCATGCATGTGTAACAATATTAAAGAAGTCATGAATTTGAGGGGAGCAGGAACGGAAAACAGGAAGAGTAGGAGGGAGAAGAGGGAGTGGAGATGATATAAATATAATACTCCTGTATGAAGTTCTGAAAAATAAGTAAAATCCACCTGTTATCTGGCAACTGCTCAACAATCACTAAAGGCAGGAAGAACAAACTTTATGAACGTGTAAATGGAGAAATACCAGGTAGGCCTTGGTCGGTTCAGATAATCCTGGATTGTTGGCCCTGAAGACTGGATAGGACCCCGTGATCGAGCCATCGCTATTGGATTCATGTAGGCCTTGAGGAAAGAACACAAATTAATTGTATTAAAATAACCAGTAAGGAAAGTCACTTCTATCTAGTAGTATTAGTATAAATGAATACTATATCCAACTAAGCATGAACAAGCTGACTAATCAACCTCTTATTACAAAATCAGTTTATTCTTCTACACGGCCTTGAATGCTTGTGAGATAAGTAGTTACTCCATATAACACATGCTGCTGTTGCTTTAGCAGAGATTTGAAAAATAATGATGCCTCTCACCTGCTGAAACCTCCAGGGTAACTTTTCCTGAAACCCAGTAGCCCAGTGAAGGTGATCACACTATGCTACTGGCAAATTAAGAAACCCATTTCCAAAGAAACAAATGATCTAACTATGCCTTAGTGCTAAATCTCCTAGTCCATACTGATGGTAATTTAATTCTCAAATTAACATAAAAAATTAAGTTACAATCAACAACCAAAAAACGACGACTTCATAAAATGGTGGTCAGTCACAGGGGCACACACCTACAATTCTAGCACTTAGGAGCTAGAGGCAGGAAGGTCAGGAGTAGCTACATGATGCTTTATCTCCAAACAAAAACAAAGCCCAAACTAACCTTAAACATGTATTTTATGTGCATGGGTATTTTGCCTGCACTTCTATCTGTGCACTGTGTACACACAGTACCTGTGGAGGTCAGAAAAGTGCACTCGAGTGTCTGGGAATGGAGTTACAGATGGCTGTGAGCTACCATGTGGGGGTTGGACTCAAACCCAGGCCCTCTAGAGGAGTAGCCAGTGCTCTTAACCACTGAGCCATTTCTCCACTCTCCCAAAATAATTTAAAATGTGGAAGAAATAAATGTGCTGCAAATAATGAAATGACAATTTGCAGAATGGGAAACCATTGGCAAACCATATCCTGAATAAGAGAGTAATGCCCAGGGTATAGAAAGACAACAAAACACCTGATCATCTCATTTAAAACTGAGCAAAGGACTTAAAATAGATATGTCTCCAAAGACACACCGTCAATGGCCAATAAACACAAGAAAGAATCTCAATATCACTAGGAAGGCTATTAGCAAAGAACCAGAAAATCACAAGGATTGTTACAAATGGAAGAAAGTGGGACCCTTCCTGCACTGTTGTTGGTAGGAGTATAAAATGGAATAGCTGTTGCAGATAATAATTTAGTGCTCCTCAAAAAGTTCCACATAGGATCACCACATGAACCTCCAATTCCACATCTAGGGACTACAGACACCCAAACAAACGCAACGCAGACTCTAGCAGACACCAGCGTTCACAGTGGCAGTAGTCAGTAATCACAACAGTCAATGGGCAGAACAAAACAAATGTCCATCCATGGACGACTAGATTAAACACAACACACGCCCCACTCAATTTTCAAAAGCTGAATTCTAATACTGTATCTGGATGGGTCTTGAAAACAGCTATGCTAAGTGACGTAAGACAAATACAACTAGACAGCGCCGTAGTTCCACTTCTAGGAGGTATCTGTAGGAAGCAAAGCCAGAGACAGAAGACAGAACTGGGCTTATCAGGGGAGAGAAGCTTGGGAGTCACCATTTCAGTGTGCACAGCTCACTTGGGATTCTGAAAGTTCTCCAAGTAGACAGACAGGTTGCAGAGCACCGTGAATGCAGCCAATGACACTGAACCACGCTTTAAAACGGCCAAGGTTGCTGGGCATGGTGGGGCACCCCTTTAATCCACGCACTCAGGAAGAAGAGGCAGGAGGATCTCTGTGAGTTCAAGGCCAGTCTGGTCTACAATAGTAAATTCCAGGCCAGCCAGGGCAACACAATGAGACCTTGTCTCAAAAGGAAAAAAAAAAAAAGGTGTTAAGTTTTATGATACATGAAACAACATATCGGTCTTCACTGTTCTGCTTTCACACCAATTGAAATGCTCAACAGAAGCAGCTGAAGGAAATATGTGAGGGTATATGTTTATACAAAAATAAAACGTACTCTGAGGACAGGGAGATGACTTAAGATCTGATCCTCCTGTCTCCACTTTCTGATTTTACATGGTGCTGGGGATCACACTCAAGGCTTTGTGCACGCTAGGCAAGCAAGCGTCATCAACTCACCATCAACTGAGCTACAGCCTACATACCGTATGCATATAAATATATAAATGTATTTTACAGTTACTATAGTAAGATAAACACACTTCAGAGACCTTTTTTCCCCCTCAAAAACACTGAGACAAAATAAAGCAAACATTTCTTTGTTTAGTGATGGTTTCTGGTAGAAATGATGATTTGCTAAAATCTGCTCTAGATATAAAATCTGTTTTGTTTTCAGACAAGATCTCCTGAAGTAGCTGTAGTCTGTCCTGAACTCTCAACCCCCTTGCCTCAGCCTGTGATCATAACCATGCACCACCATGCTTGGCCCAGTCTCAACCTCCTGATCCTCATATTCAGTTTTCCCAAGTTTAATTCAAGTTGATAAATGTTTACTCAATAAACGATAGGAACTTAGGTTAAAGATAATTACTCTCAGTTGATTTTAAGGCCTTCCTCTTCTTAACACTTGAAAGAAACAAAGAAAGCACTGTATTTGCTGCATTTTATCAAAACCTGCAAAAAATGACCATTTCCACCTTTCTAACAGATGTGACAGACAGACTTTCAGATTTCTCTGGCAGAGTAAACAATACAAAACCACCACTAAACAGCACATGCTGAGAATCACCTCCACAAAGACAGCACTGCCTAATTACTTGGAATGAGCCACAAATCTGACATAAGTTTCTTACGAGCAGGAAGGAATGTTAGAAGTTCCCAACGTTAGGGATATTTAGAGAATCAAGGCAAGGTATGGGTATCAAATGCAAAATACAGAGGCATACTCTGTGTGCGTGTGTGTGTGTGTGTGTGTGTGTGTGTGTGTGTGTGTGTGCACGTGCACGCGTGCGTAACCAGAGGCTGACATAGGGTGTCTCCCTCAACAGCTCTCCACCTTATTTTTTGAGACTGGGTCTCTCACTGAAGCTGGAACTCACAAACTTACCCTGGCTGGCTAGCACGCCCCAGAGATCCTGGGTGCTGGGGACCAAACCCAGGTTCTCCACAAAAGCACTAAATACTTTTAACTGCTGGCTTTTTAGTAGTCCCTAATGGGTAAAACATTTTAAGTTTAAAATTGTAAAAATTATTTCTAAAGAGTGCAACTACATAAAAGGACCATCCCAACTAAATTACAACAGTAAAAACTGAAGACCCCTTGGTCATTATCAAATCAGGATTCATAAAATATACTGCAAGTATGTCCCCTAAATGAAATATTATATAGTTACTAAAAAACGAAGTAGATCTATAGTTTGTGATTTGGAAAGATGTCCAGGGTTCTAAAGTGAAAAGCAAAAGCAGTTGAAAAAAAAAAAAAAGCATTTTAATCAATACCAAAAATCAAAAAATGAATGCATGTGCACCAAAATGAGAAGACATTCCCCTCAACTATTTTATTTTTGTAAATATTTATTATTCTTATTTTTTGATTGCATGTATGTGTCTGTGTGACTGTAGAGGTCAGAAGAGGGTAATGGATGTCTTGGAGCTGTAGTTATCGAGATGGTTGTGAACCACCTAATGTGGGTCCTGGGAACCAAATTCTGGTCCTCTTCAAGAGGAGTATGTGCTTTTATCTGCTGAGCTATCTCTCTAGCTCACCCCCTTCACCATTTTATATGCCTAATGGCTCAGTGGTTAAGAGCACTAACTGTTCTTCCAGATGACCCAGGTTCAATTCCCACAACCCACATGGCAGCTAACAATTGCCTGTAACTCCAAGATTTAACACCCTCACACAGACATACACGCAGGCAAAAAACACCAATGCACATAAAAGAAAAATAAATACATTATTTTAAAAAGATTAATTCACTATCTTGATAAAAGAAATACTAAGGGTAGGGGAGATGCTTAGCAGGTAAGAGCATCTGCTGCTCTTGCAGAGGACCTGGGATCAGTTCCAACACCTTATGGCAGCTCTCAATTGTCTGTAATGCCCATTCCAGGGAATCCTACACCCTTTTTTGGCCTCTGGTGCCTGGTTCCCATGGAGGTCAGGAGAGGGCTTAAAATGTCCTGGACTGGAGAGCAACCCTGGGTCCTCTGGAAGAACAGCCAGTCCTCTTAACCAGTGAGCCATCACTCATCCAGCTTGATCACTTTAAAGACTGTGCCGCTGGCTGGGGAGATGGCTCAGTGAGTAAAGACATGTGCCTCCAAGCCTGAGGGCACAAGTTCGATCCCTGGGACTTACTACTGACTCCTGGCACCCACACATAAAGACATGTGAAAAATTAAAATGTAATCAAAATTACAAAACTAAATATCTTGACTTTGTAAGTCACACATTCATATTATATATGACTCTGTCTGTGGCTGCATGAGTTCAAGGAAAGGAAAATTATTTGTTACTGTAACTCAGAATGGCAAGCTAGGCTCAAGGGAATACACATGTGTGAAGGTACCAAAAGAGCAACCTAGAACAACTGTGAGAGGCACGAGCAGAATCTGATCGGTTGCTTTGACTGTCTTTACCTAGAGGATATAGCTACTCACTTTAGAGGACACAGATTACCAAAAAGAATATGAAGCAGGCTTCCAGAAAACAGGCATAAAGGCACTGTGAATGCAATAGTCCTTTACAGATGCCAAGAACTAAAATGTTCAGGCTATCCATGAGTAGGAGTACACACGCACACACACTCAGAGGATCTCTCTCACTTCTAGTCAACTCTTCGGTGAACTCAAAGCTTCTCTAAGGGCTGAAGAGATGGCTCAGTCAAGGCGAGTATTTCTAAAGGACTCAAGCTCAGTAAGTAGCCTCAAAGGTTGTTAACTACAGCTTCTAAAACAAACAAACAAACAAACACCCCACAAAAAAAAATAATAAAACCCATCATTTAGGAAGAGATATTTTATACCCAAGGCCGATGACCTGAGTTTGATCCCAGGGATCTACACAACAGAGGAAGAGAAATCCCGGCTAGCTGTTTTCTGGCCTTTCACAAGCTTATTGTGGCAGGTGTGCACATACACACAAAATAAATAGATGTGAATAAAACAACAAAACAACTGTTCAACAAGATCTAATGTTTTTAAATTTGTGTTTGCCTGTCTATGTGTGCCTGTGTGCCTGTGTGCCTGTGTGTGTGTGTGTTCTCACAGATGTCAGAAGAAGGCACTGGATCCTCTGGAGCTGGGGTTACAGAGGGCTATGGATGGCCTGATGTGGGTGACGGGAATGGAACTTCAGTCCTCTGCAAGAGCACCATGTGCCAGGCCTGGTGGCTCATGCTTTTAATCCCAATACTCCAAAGGCAGAGGTGGGTATAGGCCAACCTGGTCAGTCAGGGACACACAGAGAGATCCCGTGTCACAACAAACAAACATAATTAAGACAGAGAGAGGAAAAAAAGAGCAGCAACATGTGCTCTTACCCTTGAGGCTTCACTCCAGTCCTCTAAAAGTTTGGTTTGTTTTTTTTAAATCCTGAAATCCTATAATCTTTAACACCATGACAATATCATCAGTGTAAGAAAAAGAACTGGACTGCCTCTGAGACCATCTCTGAACAAGAATAACAGAACAGCTAGTATTTTCAGAGACAGACATTCAAAATCAAGTCCTGGCAAAACTATGGAGCCAGTAAGGAAAGCGGTGATTGCAGGAATTGAAGCGACAGGAGTGACTGAAGCGGAGACTTTCAGCGATAATGCATCATAATGGTGGATGCATATCATTACTAATTTGTCCAAAGGCACAAAATGCACAGCAGGGTGTGATTCCTGAAATATAAACCCCAAGTTCACCAGAACAAATGTACCTTCTCGGTGGGGGATGTTGATAATGGAGATGATGTGCATGTGTCAGAAATGGATAGGATATCTGTGGTTTAAAAGTGCTGTTAAAAAGTGGGCCTTTACATGGAAAAAAAAAAATCCAGAGTTATTAAGTACTGAACCAAGTGTCAAATGAGTTCTTCTGGTCGTAGTTTAAGCAGCCTCAACCTGTCCCCTACAAATTAAGAGATTTCATCGGATCTCCTACATCTCCTGTCTCTTGAATTAATGTTCTCAGTCTTATAATCTTTGAAGTGCAAACAAAAGGCTACCAGAACATTCTGTGCTAGGACAACAAAACAGTTTTTGGAGTTGTCAAAACGCCCCAGTAAACGAAGCAAGTCTCATGTTTCACAAATGCCTTAGGGATGTATAAATGGAAAGTTTCCAGTAAAATGGAACATTTTGGATTTCTGTAAGAAAACTCATGTTTGTAAGCAACCCTATAATCTTTAAATCCACGAGAGCATCATCAGTGAAAACAAAACTTAAACTGAAAAATCTCCAGAAAACGGGGTGATTTCCAAGCGTGAGAGGACATTAAGAGGGCCCAGGCACTTCAGGACGTTGAACTCAGGATGCCCCATGCACAGGGCCATTTCCACTCCAGTCTACGGTCCAGACGACGCGTGGCCTCGTCTTGAAGCCAGGAGCAAAGAACCTTTCTGAACCGTGTAAGCACGGTTCCTGACTGAAGGGGCTCCATCGCGGAACTAAACGGACGTTCTGAAGCCGGGGAGCACTCACTACCACCGCACAGGCAGCTCTTTAGGTACCCACGCGCAGCCGCTCGAGCGGGCAGCTGCTGCCTTTGTGGTCAGGCTGTGATAACGCGGCCCCGGTTCGCACAGGTAGAAACTTGGGTTCGGGAGTCACTAACTTCCGTGGGCGCAGCCGCCTGGAGCACCCCTGGCCCCGCGGTCGGGCTGCGGCCCCCGGCGCTCGCGGCCCTCCCGGCTGCGGGGCGAGCAGCCCCCCCGGGGGCCCCGCCGAGCCCGCCGACCGCGGCGCCGAGGGCGAGCAACGCGCACGCGCACCGCAAGGCGCGGGGGTCTCGGGGCCCGCAGGTGCGCCACGGCCGCCGGCCCCGCCGCGACGGGCGACGGCTTCCGCTCGCTCGCCTGCCCGCCTGCCTCCCGCCCCCGCGCCGTCCGTCGGTGTTCCCCCACCGAGTACTCACCACGCGATTGTCTCGCTTCCCCATGGTGGCCGGCGGAACGCGCGGGAAGCCGCGGACGGAGCAGGCCCGAGAAGAAGCCGAAGCGGCCCGCCGCACGTCCGCCCACCGCCTCTACGCCCCGCCCAGAGAGCGGCGCCCCGCCAATCCCGAGCCCGCGTGCGCCACAGCGCCCCCTGGCGCTGCGGAGGACAGGCCAGCGCCAGCGCCCGCCGGCGGTTCCCAGGAGCTGCGGCTGCAGGGTTCCTGTGACCACCCACTCCTGGGCAGGACACGCTCTGTACCCCGTCTCGCCAAGGCAGCTCACTCCATTTGGCCTAGGCTTTCTTCCATTCTTTATGCGCCGAAACACTCATTCTAGGGAAAACTAAGATTGCTACAACTCTTACTGTGCCTGTTGGAAATAAAGTGAGGACCAACACAAACTGGTCCTACAGAGTCGTTCACCTGGTGGGGGAGAAAGCGCTGTTAGAGACTTAGGTTACTTGTACTGCTAAACTTCATTCGTTCATCACACGCATTCATTTTTTTTTTAATCATCTGCCTTGCATAATTTTCATTAAGAACACTTGCTGCTCTTGCAGAGGAAGTCAAGTCTCCACAAGGTGGTTCTCAACTATCTGTAACTTCAATTCCTGGGTTCTGGTGCCCCCTTCTGACCTCCTTGGGCATCCGGCACATATGGTGCACACACATACATGCAGGCAGCCAAACTACTCATACACATAAAATAAATCTAACAAAAAAATTAAGTCATAAAACTTTAAAAAGTGAGGCTGGGTCATGACAAAAGATAGTTAAGACACAATCCCTACCATTAAGGAGTCTATGAGTTTCTAGGGTGAGATAAACACACACAGGTTAGATCTTACTGCTTGACTGCTATGGCATTATCTGGACTGTCCCAAAACTTCAGAAGAAATGACCTGGACTCCAGAAAAGAATACACCGTGCACATTGATTATCACAGGCTTGGACATAGTGCTCACAGGTTCGTGTCAACACGAAAGCATTAGGAAGTAATTTAAAATCGATCAGAATCCTTTCTGGACTTTTGGGAAATGGCAATATGGGGTTTTCATTACACTGAAGAAAATCTTTTAGCTCCGCCCCCCACGGGAGGGGTGGGGCTTATGTATACAATCCTAGCATTTGGGAGGCTAGGGGTTGGGTTGGCAGAAATCCTAAGTTCAAGGCTATCTTGAGCAACAAAGTAAATGTAAGTGTGGTGTTATTTCTTTTACTCTTTTTTGGGGCAGGGTGGGGGGCGCCACCCAGCTCCCAAATAAATCACACACAGAGGCTTATTCTTAATTATGAATGCCCGGCCTTAGCTTGGATTGTTTCTTGCCAGCTTTCTTTAACCTATCTTGTCTACCTTTTGCCTGTGGGCTTTTCCCGTTCTCTTACTTCTGTAAATCTTACTCTTACTCCGTGGCTTGCTGTGTAGCTGGGTGGCTGGCCCCTGGAGTCCACCTCCTTCTCTGGCTACTTCCTTTTTTTTCACTCCTCCATCTCTTTTCTTCTCTTCATCCCAGATTTCTCCTTCTACATATTCTCTCTGTCTGACAGCCCCACTTCTCTCTCTTCCCTGCCTTGCTATGGGCCGTTCAGTTCTTTATTAGACCATCAGGTGTTTTACATGGGCACAGTAACACAGCTTCACAGAGTTAAACAAATGCAACATAAGCAAAAGTAACACACCTTAAAATAATATTCTACAACAGTATATACATATATATATATATATACATACATATGTTATATAATTCAGCAGGAATATTTGTGTTTCCTTTAGCTCTCTTTAGCTGACAAATGACCCAGACCTAGAGCAGGTATCTCAGAAGTGGACAGATATGGAGTCTGGTGAGAAAGGACTTCATAAAATCTAGATCATTCCAAGTCTTTTCAGAACAAAACTCCCAGCAGCTCTGTGGGAAGACCGAAGTGATGCCTTATACATCGCCCACACATGTGATCTGCTAAGAAACACACTTTCCTTTTAGCAGTGAATTACATGCTGTCCCAAATACTTAAGGCATAGCCAAGAGATTGCATTTCATTTTTCAGTTGGGAAAAATAGAGGGTAGGGGAAGGCAAGTCATTTATTCTGTGTCTCACGGTGACAAAGCAGAGCTGCTGAGCATTTGGGCCCAAGTGTGTCAAAGATGAAAATGAAGCTTCCCTTACAGCCTTACACTGTCATTGGCAGGGGCAAGGAAGGATGGAAATTTTTCAGGTAGACTGTGAGCCTGGGCAGACTTCCCACAGAAGAGCTGAGAAGGAAGAGAGAACGTCCTGGGATAAAGGAAGCCGGCACAGCCACGTGTGACAGTGTGGGGTACTTGTAATGCAAGGCAGGAAAGTCACATGGGGCTGGAGGCAAAGGACCTTGACTGTGAAGGGAAAGTCTTATTTTATTGTACAGGCAGAGTTTTGAATGGGAGTAGATGAGCAGCTTCAAAAGGTCAAAGATGTAAATAACAGTAATAATTATATTAACAACCCTCTTAGGTAGAGATTTTCCAGGTGAATAGCATTCACTGATTATAACCTGGGTTGTCTTCTAAATGTAATAATAAACTAGTTGACTTTCCTACACGGTGAATTATTTTTGTATGGGTGCTTGAGATTTTAAATGGAAAGAGATGTAGGCAATCTAAAACCTCAAATGCCTGTTGTTTGGGTGTACACATCCTTAGACTGGAGTCGTAAGAGTGACATTTATATTTGATAACAGCCACTGAAAGGATATTAACCTAGGCAGCTCTTTTGTTGGGAGAGATCAAGTTTGATATTTGTGACAAAGGAAATGACTAAGGTATGGCACTCTCATGCTGTGACAAACCACGTAGGAATTTTAAAAGTGAAGGAGAGCTGTATGTGTTGATCTGGGGAAATGGCCATTATATATTATTGGAGAGCAATGAACTATAAAACAGTATAGACCATGGCAGCATGCAGTAAATAAAAGGATGCATTGGAAGGCGGCTCAGTGGGTAAAGAGCTTGTGCAAGTATCAGGACTGGAGTTCAGATCCACAGCACACGCCTGAATGTTGGGTGGGTATAAGCGGTCTACTAGTAAGCCCTAAGCTCTGGAGGTGGATATAAGTTCTCCAAAGCAGGATGGCTAGCTACACTAGCTGAATTGGTGAGGGACTCTGTCTCACACGTACCTACCCATAAATGTGCACCTGCATACATATGAACATGCACATCATACACACACACACACACACACACACACACACACACACTAAAAAGAAAATATATTGGTTCATGTGCTGTCTGGATTTATGACAACTTGACACAAGGTTTAGTCATCAGAGAAGAGGGAACCTCAATTGAGAAAATGCCTCCATAAGATCGGGCTGTAGGCAAGCCTATAGGACACTTTCTTAACTAATGAAAGATGCGGGAGGACCCAGCCCATTGTGGGCAGGCTACCCAAGCTTGCACCTTGTGCTGGTCGCTGGACTTGGTAGTGCATGAGGCACCCAAGTGGTCTAGTTTTGAATGTGAAGGGGTTACGGAGAGCAGCTGAGTTTTGGCACTGCACGGCAAGGTTGGAGCCCCGCGGAGAGTCCAGGAGAGGCTTTTGGAGAAAGTCCAGCCCAGATGCAGCAGAAGACCCCAGTAGTTTGGAGATGCCTGTACCATGGGATGACTACCAAGAACAGCAGCAGGGGTGGGGTGGAGCCAGCTGGAGCCTAGAGGACAAGTTGTGTGTACTGCAGAGGGCGGAACCAGGGAAGTGACCCAAGCCCTTTGGAAAAGTTCAGAAGCTGGTGAGTGTGTCCCAGACACTGGATGCCAAGTTACTTAGAGTTGGAGTTTGGTTTTGATTTGATTGTGACTGTGTTCTGGTTCTTCCCTTTTGAAGTAAGAAAGTATTTCATTTATTTTTGATTTTATAGGAGCCCACAGTTGAGAGACTAGACTTTAAAAAAGATTTTAGAAGTTGGGTGTGGTGGCTAACCCCTTTATTCCCAGCACTCGGGACAGCGAGTTCCAGGACAGACAGCTACACAGAGAAATCCTGTCTTGAAAAACCAAAAAAGATTTTAGGTCTTTAAGGTCTCTTTAAAAGAGAATTTGAATTTTTAAATAGGCTGAATTTAAAGTGTTTAAATTTGTAAAGACTGTGGGAATTTTCAGACTTGGGGTAGTTTATATTGCAATGTTCATACTAATGTATGCTCTTGGGAATGAACAAAAAGGAAGGTGGCCTAACAGTGACGTATCTGGGTGAAGATGAGCTGAGCTGTGGCTCCTGGTTTTATGTCAACTTGACACAAGGCATCAGAGAGGAGGGTGCCTCTACTGAGAAAATGCCTCCTACTAGGCAAGGCTGCAGGGCATTTTCCGAAGTAGTGATGAATGGGGGAGGGCCCAGTTCCTTGTGGGTGGTGCCATCCCTGGTCTGGTGGCCCTGGGTTCTATAAGAAAGCAGGCTGAGCAAGCCATGGGGAACAAGACAGTAAGCAGCACCCCTCCATGGCCTCTGCTTCAGCTCCTGCCTCCAGGTTCCTGCATGTTTGAGTTCCTGTCCTGACTTCTTTTGACGAGGAATAGTGATGTGGAAGTGTAAGCCATATAAACCCTTTCCTCCCCAACTTACTTTTGGTCATGGTGTTTCATCATGGCAACAGAAATCCTAACTCAGACAGTTCGGCGTTATGAAATATCTAGCAATTGCTGACCTGTAAGGGTGACAATTCATATTGTTCAGTGTGTGTGTGTGTGTGTGTGTGTGTGTGTG